CATTATTGCCTTGGTATAGGCCTAACTTATACGAATTGGTCTAATTATCAGGATAGTACTGCGGAGAGTCGTAGTAACTTAAGTACTCACTCGTGCGGACGTTAATCCACACCAGGTAGTATCGAATACACAGTGCATGCCTATAAATATCCACAATTCGTGACCTCCTAACTTAGTAGCTGGATTACAGGACGACGCCACACGTCCCAGTCATATTGATTATTTAATTCGATAAACTTAGGCCTAAGCCTATATCAAGTTTGGTTGATTAGGGTAAAACCTAACCTAACGGTAATTATATCGACCTCCGGACCTCACGCGAAATTAAAAATTTTTTTTTCCAAAATGTTCGAAATTTCACGCTGATTTCAAAAATGATTGTCGTTTTTTTCGGAAACGTCCCGTTTTCCCAGAAAATGGGAAAAACGGGAAAATATTTTTTTGCTCAAAACCCATGTTGTGGGTACTCAAATTGTGCGGAATTTCCTCCTGAACAAGAATATGTAAATTTTATTACGATCGGACCACTATTAAGTAAAATATCACCGAAAAACGGGAAAACGGGGAAATTTTTCTTTGCTTAAAACCCATGTTGTAGGTACTCCTGAACAAGAATATGTAGTTTTTATTACGATCGCTTTTAAGTAAAACATCACCAGACAGGTTACCCAACCTAACATAACCCAACTTAGGTTTAGGTTAGGTTAGGTTAGGATTGGTTAGTTTAGGTAAGGTTAGGTTAAGTTAGGTTGGTTTAGGTTAGGTTGAGTTTCGTAAGGTTAGGTTAGGTTAAGTTTGGTTAGGTTAGGTTAAGTTAGGTTAGGTTAGGTTAGTTTAGGTTAGGTTAGGTTAAGTAAAGTTAGGTTGGTTTAGGTTAGTTTGAGTTTCGTTAGGTTAGGTAAGGTTAAGTTTGGTTAGGTTAGTTTGGTTAGGTTAGGTTAGTTTAGGTTAGTTTACTTACAATACTCATGTTATTGATAAACTAACCCAACCTAACCTAACTTAGGAACTTAGGTTAGGTTAGGATAGGTTAGTTTAGGTTAGATTAGTTTAGGTTAGGTTAGTTTAGGTTAAGTTTGGTTAGGTTAGGTTAGTTTAGGTTAGTTTACTTACAATACTCATGTTATTGATAAACTTACCTAACCTAACCTAAGTTTTGTTAGGTTAGGTTAGGTTAAGTAAGGTTACACTAAACTAACCTAACCTAACCAAACTTAACCTAACCTAACCTAACAAAACTTAACCTAACCTAACCTAACCTAACCCAACCTAACTTAACCTAACCTAACCTAACGAAACTCAACCTAACCTAAACCAACTTAACCTAACCTAACTTAACCTAACCTAACCTAAACTAACCTAACCTAACCTAACTTAACCTAACCTAACCTAACCTAAACTAACCTAACCTAACTTAACCTAACCTAACCAAACTTAACCTAACCTAACGAAACTCAACCTAACCTAAACCAACCTAACCTAACCAAACTTAACCTAACCTAACCTAACGAAACTCAACCTAACCTAAACCAACCTAACCTAACCTAAATTAACCTAACCTAACCTAAACTAACCTATCCTAACCTAACCTAAACTAACCTAACCTAACCTAATCTAAAAATAAGTTAGGTTATGTTAGGTTAGGTAACCTGTCTGGTGATGTTTTACTTAAAAGCGATAGTAATAAAAACTACATATTCTTGTTCAGGAGTACCTACAACATGGGTTTTAAGCAAAGAAAAATTTCCCCGTTTTCCCGTTTTTCGGTGATATTTTACTTAATAGTGGTCCGATCGTAATAAAATTTACATATTCTTGTTCAGGAGGAAATTCCGCACAATTTGAGTACCCACAACATGGGTTTTGAGCAAAAAAATATTTTCCCGTTTTTCCCATTTTCTGGGAAAACGGGACGTTTCCGAAAAAAACGACAATCATTTTTGAAATCAGCGTGAAATTTCGAACATTTTGGAAAAAAAAATTTTTAATTTCGCGTGAGGTCCGGAGGTCGATATAATTACCAACCTAACTCAAGGAATGCAATATTCAAAATACTAAATAGTCTATGTATTTAATATCTTTCATTTGAATGAATGTAGGACATAGCCTAAACTAAAGTGCAGCCAAATATTTTTACATAAACAAATTCTCAAAGTTGACACTGGGTCAGTGGGGATAAGAGACAATCCTAATAGCCTAGGGATTTGCCTATTCAAACATTTGCAATAATATTGCTCTATTATCCAGAATTAGCCTACGAACAAGCTGTATCTTAGGTTCTTGTTGGTATCTTACCTCTTACCTTCTTGTTGGTGACTTACCTAAGTTAGTGCCTGGTAATGTTTTTAAGTTTTTTATCCTATAAAAATTATTTCACATTATTCCTTAAAAACTATTGTTTGTAACACTCGAGTCATCTATTTTCTTGTAAACAAGGAAAGAAATAAAAAAGATAAATATTTACAATATAACAGTTTTAGTCCATAAATGGCCAGCTTGTAGATGTCCGTCGGAATTCAGAATCAAATATTGCGACTCGTGACTCGTGAGTTGAGGAACTGAACGATAAATTAGAACAACTCCTTTTCAAGAGTAGCTCCGAAGAACGGGAGCTTGTCGATATACTGGGACTATTTCAGTGTCGACATAGTGAAACTATTTCATTGTCGACAATATGGGATGTCGACAATTTGTGGTGTCGATCATTTGCGACGTCGGTTATTTGGGATGTCGGTTAAGTGGGAATATTCCAGTGTCGACAAACTGGGAATAATTCAGTTTCGATCAATTTCTACGGTTGTCGATATTATGGAACCCACCCTTCACTATCACCAATGAAAAGTGTAAAAGTTGTGAATTTTTGGATTTAGCAATTGAAGGTGTGAGTTGGGATTTTGGGACGTTTGCAACTGTCGTTAAACTGTCAACTTAAATGTTCATTTTCAAACTAGGCAGACATCTCTACCCTTATGTATAAACTAATAAATAAAGTAAAAAGGTGTTGGAAAATGTCATATGATGAGTATGGTACATTTTAAGTATCTGTAGTACGCAATAATTCAAGACTTTTTAGGGAAATTTCTTTCCGAGCTGCACGTGGGGAGCAGTATCCACTGAGTGTTTATAAAAGATTGATTTTAAGAGGCTGGAAACTTGTAATGTATTATTGATCAGAATGAAAATTATTTGTTTCTGAAGTGGTACAAATTGGGTTCCTCATTTTGACCCTCAAAACAAAATAATTGCCAATTTCTCTTAGCACTACTTAAAAAAAAACAAATAATTTAGTATATTGATTTTTTTTACGGTTATTGGTCACGTAAAAAAAATTAGTGAATTTAAAATTACCATGCTATTATCATAAAGTTAACTGTTTTAGTTTGCTTGTTTACGGATATCTTTTGATCAAACTTGGCAACTTAACTTTTATACTAAGCTATTGTTATTCTACTAAAAACCCCACTTTATTACCCTTCCTGTAGCAACAAACCAGTGGCGGTCCCTAGGGGGGGGCTACAGGGCCTAAAGCCCCCCCCCCTTGGACCCTGGAAAAATAAATTTAAATATCATTTCGTCCTTAAAAACACGCAATGTTATAAAACAGACACCAATATAGTTTTTATTAATGAGCGATGGCAGGTCGAGTAGTATTAAGTTCAACATAGATAAACTTTGTGGGGCGATAGCTCGACGAATGAAATAATTTTTATATTACGCTATGGTAAGTTGTACGCATCATCCAATTTTTACAGCAGCCAGCTGACGCGAGCGAGCTTGACAGTGAGGACGGGTAAACAGCTGATTTCATGTTCCTAGTTGTCAAATTGTCTGCTAGAACTTACACAGGCATCAGCCATCAGCGGTAGCACCCTAGTAGCCTCCATGGTGGAAAGCCTCATTGACTTATATAAACACAAGTGTATACTATACATATTGTGACAGATCTATGAAATGGAGAAACACGTAAGGCTAAAAAACGTGTCTCTACTGAAATGGGAGATTTTTGGACACAGTTCTAGACGTTAAAATGGCTTTATAAATTCACCAAACGATTTTTAGAAGATTGCTTCATAGTCTAGTAGGCCTATGTTTTGAATTGTTTTTAATGTCTACTTGTTCATTACAAAGACAAATATATAACAGGTGAAATGGGAGGGTTTTGGACAGTTGGACACAGATATGATATAGACATTCATAATACGCTTAGAAAGTCAGTAAGCATTTTTAGGAGGATATAGCCGTAGCCTGCAATATGTTTTGAGATGTATATGAATGTAATCGTCATAGTTTAATTTTTTAAATGTATACTTGCTCATGACAAACAACATGGGAGTTTATGGACAATTGGGCACAGTTTTATGTGTTAAAATGGCTTTAGAAAGTCACCCATGATTGGCTTTGGAAATTCCAAGTTTTCCCAGGGGATAACCCCCGAACCCCCTTCTTTATTGAGGGGTGCTCCAAACCCGCCTCCTTGACGATGTCCTAGAACCACAACTGCAGCAAACCTAGGTACTTGTTAAACATAATGCAATTTTAATAGGTTTAATTGAAAATCCAGTCGGGCAAATGGAAATTAGTTTAGTCTGCAGGTTTTCTGTGGCGGGGGTATTTTATTACTTGTTCGGAATGACTTAACAATTAAAGAAATTCTGGAATCAAAGCTTCGTGGTAGCTTGGTAGCCTGTTAATATGTTATTTTAATCAGTAATAACCTTTAAGAATAGTAGTTGGATGAGTTGGATCGTTGGATGAAAGATGAAAATTGTATTCATTGATGAAAACTAGGAGGATTTAAAAAAAATCTCTGCACAGTCAGCTGTACTGTAGATTCTTTTTGTCTATGACTGTAGTAAACTTAAATCTGATGTTTACTTCACTTCAGTCTTCAACTTCAGTTTAATTTCATTCAAAAATTCAGTCAGTCTCAGTGCAGTCAGTCCGTCCGTCGTCCGTCGGTCCGTCTGCTAGTGCGTCAGTGCGTGTCGGCTGGCCAATCCCAATGACTGACGTCAAATATAACGTTCAGTTCTGTTTTGTTTTGACGTTTGGTTTTTGATTTTGGGAAGGAAGGGTTGACGATGAAGACTGTAACACAAATTTAAGGTAATGTATTTTCTGTATATTTAATAATTTTGTTTATTATCCCTCCATTAATAGTCTAACAGTGTCAGTTTCCTTCAATCGAAAAAGAAGATTCATTCGACTTTGAAAATTATTTAAACTAGGCAGATCCTAAAATGCATATTTACTAAATAATAATTAACCGTTAACTACCGTACTGGGTACAGTTTCTTAACTGGGCTATGCTAATATCGAATGAAACTATTGATTCGATTACTAAGTAAACCTTCATGTGATTTTTGCATTATCAGCAAGTTTGGTTAGTTAGGTTAGGTATATGACAGTTTCATTAGGCCTATATAACTAGGATTGCTTTCATAGCAGTGAAAGCCAGTTGAGCGGAGCAATCATTTTACATGGTTTTTAATACCTATATAAAGCAATAAATTAAAAAAATGTTTAGAGATATAATACAAAATACAAATGTTCCCTCACAGAGTAAGTTACTGCTAGCATTTACTACTTCCTTCACCACTTCCTGTCGTGGGCCTGTTTATTTCCCTTCCTATAAGTTAGCATTTTAGGATTACCGATACATTAACGTAACTGTTACAAAGGGTTCACACACACTGCACTGCTAACCTTCACTACTTCATTCACCACTTCCTACATCCTGGACATGTATTCCTTCCTTCCCATAGCGTTATAATATTGCAGATACCTTAATGTAACTGCCACAAACGGTACCCAAACTCTGCACTGCCAGCATTTACTATTTCTTTCATCACTTCCGACGTCATGGACCTGTTTTCCTCCCTTCCCATAGCATTTTAGTATTGCAGATACATTCATGTAACTGCCACAAACGGTCCCCACACTCCGCACTGCCAGCCTTTACTATTTCCTTCACAACTTTCTATGTCGTGGACTTGTTCCCCCCCTTTCCATAGCATTTTAGTACTTTTTTTTAGATATACAAGTCCACAACGTAGGAAGTGGTGAAGGAGGTAAAGGCAAGAAGTGTGGAGTGTGGGGAACGTTTGTGGTAGTTAGATAATCTTTACTACCTCCTTCACCACTTCCTACGTCGTGGACTTGTTTAAGCTGACCATTTATGAGATGGATCCATGAATGTGATTCACCGACAAATTGTTTAAGATAAAATGTTATTTGTTATAACCTCATTGAGCCACATATATCAAATCTGTTAAACAATGTTCTTAGAAAGAAGTATGTTTTGTCTATGACTGTATACCTATTCGATCAGTGGTCGTTTCCAAATTGCGACTTAAATGCAAACCTAAGACTTTCTCTGTATTATTTGATCAGTGGTCATCATCTGAAATTTTCCCTGTACCGGTAGACCTACTTGTACTGTGTTTAGGTTGTGTCTTGATTTTAACATGTGCTATGATTCTTTATTTTGTTTACATTTACGTCGTTATTTTGTAACCATAATGAATGGCAACCTAAGTCCAATGTTAAAAATTAAAAACTTTGAGTTAGTTTAAAATTATATAGGCCCCCTGGGCATTATCAAAAATTGAAATTGGTTACGTCTTAACCAACCAAACATTTTATAAAAAAGCCTTGGTAAGTTTGGCTAAAATATGTTCAGCCGTTATTGAGATTGAGTGTTACAAAGATTGCATTGAAATTCCGCAAGTGCACCTTATAAAGGGTTGATTTAACTCAAGCTGTGTTTACAACAGTGAAACCCAAGTCACCCTAGTATTTAGACTTGTTAAGAAGAAGAAATTTTGGCCTGCTAGGTTTTAAGTATCAAGAATTTAAATAACAAGCTGCAATTGAATAACTATTTCATTGATGATGTATCTCTGTTATATCTCCATGCAGTTCTTTTAACACACTTTTGTCTACATTGTCGATTAACAATTGACTCTTTTACAGGACACATTGACTAATGCTTCACACAAATTAACCTGTTAACTGCATGTTTGTACAACCACTAACACCTAGACAATGTCAGTGTCTGATCCTATGATAAAAGAACTTAAAGGTACGTTTTCCTCTCCATGCTAAGCTTTCAGTAAATTAGATTAGGGTTTCACAAAAATCCCATGTCCTCTAATTTTCAGGCTTACCAGTTAAGTATGAGATTGTTTGATTATAACTTTTGGGAGTATCATTGGTTTTTTAAGGAGGTATTGCAAGACTCTACAAAATCTTGTTAAATTCCTTTCTTCAAATTATCAAATTCTTCATCTCAATACCAATGGTTGGGTACTTTCGCTAGGCCTACATGATGATGTTTAAGCAGTTTGATAATTTATTACATTCATCTTCAGGTTTTACCAGGAGATTAAAGAAATGTTATAATGTCAAGCCTGCTAACAGTTACAATATTGTCAATATGGTTTGTTGTATCAATACTGTTCTCATGACATGTGCAGGGTGTGCGGTTCAGTTCCTGAGTGTGCCACAACCCATCACAGATGGAAGTCCTTCGCTCCGTCCGTTCTGTGAGTCGCTGGAGCGTATCCTCCAGAGAGGTCTGCTGGTCCGCATCAATGCCATCGGCTATTGGCGCGATCCTGAGCCATGGAACTGGATGGAGCGGCTTGCTCTTAGCAAATTCGGGTAATTTTCGCTAAAACTTCATTTTGCTCAAATCATTATGATGGTTAAAGTAGCCACCAGTTGTAGAGCATGGTAGACAAAAAAAGTTTTCCTGAAATTTTACATACATGCACAACATTCTCTATAGAAATAGGACAAGGCAATTATAAGAAAATATTAGGTTTATTCTTTGTAATTTTTATAGATGTGAATCTTGTTGGATAGACATTTGGATTGAATATTTTGTTGTGTTGCAAATAGCCTACAGTTTTAGCAAATGTTAAGGTGCGGTTTTAAACGGTTTTGATTGTACAAAATGTCAAAATGTGTCAAATTAGAAGAGAGACCTATAAGCTACTAATAAAATTTGCCATCCTGGGGGTTAAATACAGAGATCATACTGTAGATTACTTACAATTTAATTGACCAATAAATACAGAGATCAACAGCTTTGAGAAAATTAAGAAACGTTTTACAAATGTTTCACACAATTTTAAAACACAGACTAAAAGAGTAAAGTTCCCTGACATGTAGTAAGACTAATAAAATTTACTGCTGTTAAATATGTAATTTAATGTAGGTATTCTATACAGCATTCTATACAGGTTACAGATTTCTTAACCAATTTTATGCATCCATGAAAAAATATATCCATAGGCCCTCTAATGCTAACTGCACAGTTATTCATAAAATTGTATCCATCTATCTTTTGGCACAATCATAATCTAATTCAAGCCTATAAGGTAAAAACCAAATACATTTTTGGAGGGTTTCTATTTGTATTGAAACTTGGTTCAAAAGGCTGTGGTTGATCAGGTGCCTGCAAAATGATTGACAAATGTGACATTGTCATGTCATCAGGTGTGTTATCAACAGCACAATGCCTTTTGAATTGAAAGATAATCACCACAGTTGTGTGCTGGTAACATATTGAAGTCGTAAAAGTTAATGACCTTTTGTTGCAAATAAGAGACAACGTACACAATATCTTTAGAGTAATTTAGTTTATAGTTTTGTAAATTCTTTAGTGTTTATTTTATAGCTTCTTTTAAAAAGAGGTAAACCATAGTCTTTGAAAATATTAAACAGTGATTTTGTAAATTATGATTAGTCTACTGGAGGCTGATTGAGCACCACTTAAAAGTGTAATAAAATATTTCAATATTAAAAAAAATATATTTTTTATGTTTTAGATTTTTTTATTTATTAGTAATTGGTAGGACAGCCAACTTACTTTAAACCCATTTAAAGGTGAAAATTAATACTAAAATAAAAAGAAAATGCTTAAAATAAATATATAAATTTATTTAATGCAAATTATTACCTACAGGGTGCTTTATAAACCAAGCACAATTAGGACAAAGTCCTATATTCCATTGTGCCTGGCGGGGTATGGCCCTCAGGGAACCATTCTGGCATGTGCCTAAGAGAGGAAAGAAACCATACAAACTTCCCTCAGAATGGCCGGTCTGATAATCAGACCTCCCGAATGTGAAGTGACATCTTTATCATGATACTACCTCACTCGGTCAGATTAATACTAGTTAGTACGTTACAAGATACTTAATACTTATACTATTGAGTAATACTAAATTAAATTACATACCATTGAATACTTAATGTACAATACTTAAAATGTAAGTTACTAAAACTAAATAGTCTTCTGTTAACTGATTCATCTTCTTGACTTTGAGTCTTCTTAGATTTCTACTTTTTCTTACTTTTTTTTAGCTCACTCCTCTGCAAGTTCTCCGTCGTTCATTCAGGTTCTTTAATCCTTCTTCAGTTTGAGTATGTATCCACTCTTTTACATCTTCCTGCAGTTTTATTGTTACTTGACAAAAAAATCTCTTTGTTTATGTTTCCTCTTATTTATTGTAACTCACAACTATTCGTTGTTGAACCTCAAATGAATTTATAATTTTCTTCTCTTATCATTGTAAGTTTGAGGTAATTTGTTAGTCATCTGTATTTCTTGAATTGTATTAATATTTCAACTGCTCTTCTCATTTTCAATCATTCAATTCTGATCCTGGTTTTGGTTTTGGTTTTGGTTTAGTTTTCCCCTTTACCTTGATTTATCGAACAAATTTGAATGTCAAAGATGGAATAAGTAAATTATTTGTTTCCATAGAAACAAAATTGTACCCTAGACACTATCTTACTAATATTATAAATCTGAAAGTTTGTGAGTTTGTGTGTATGTTTGTGTGTATGTTTGTGTGTATGTTTGTGTGTGTGTTGCTCAATCACGCATAAACTACTGGACGGATTGGGCTGAAATTTGGCATGCTGATAGCTCACATTCCCGATTAACATTAAAGCATATTCTTATCTCAAAAACCCTTTCGGGCTCCACCCCAGTGGCTCTGTAGTTCCCCATGTTAATCTTATGAGTTTTCATATTTAAAAGGAATTAATGAATCTTAACAGCTGTCTCAATTAAACAAGTTGGTTCTGTTCTATGATGTTCAACAGCATAAAATTTACAAGGATTACCAACAGGGTGCAGCACTATTAATTTCTTTTTTTATTTATGACAACAGCTAATTTCCAACCAAAAGGTGAGTGAGCGTAGCGAACGAACTTCAACCTTGAGGCGAGTTAGCGTAGCGAACGAGCTAACCTGAAGGCAAGTGAGCGCAGCGAACGAGCTCCAACCTAAAGGTGAGTGAGCGTAGCGAACGAACTTCAACCAGGACGTGAATGAGCCATGCGAATACTTATGAAGTTAAACGGGGCGAAGCCCGCGGGTACAGCTAGTGTTGAATATAAAGCCAAAAGTACCCATGAACTTTTGAGAAAACTACAAGTCACACCCCCATAAACCATATACTTAAAATGTTCGTCATGACGAGAAACCTTGCGCAAAATTATCCATTATGTCATAAATTGCCCTTTAAGGTCGTAATTCCTTTCTAAAGGGAACTTTTCATATACCTAATGTTAAAAATACCTCAGCTGTACTTATTTGTTTGTTATTCTTTCAATTTATTACCTTATTAAAATCAGGTGTGATTATTTGTTTCTTTTACTGTATTTTGTTTATTTCAGGTTAACTTAACCAATCAATAGTTTTATTAATACTTATGATGTCAAACGGGGCGAAGCCCGTGGGTAACAGCTAGTGTTGAATAGTGTTCAAACCTGATGTTTACTATCAAGCTGAGCTTTTGGGAAGGTCGTCTCCTATGATTGTGATGACAACACCTACTCTTATTCCTACCCTAGAGAAATCTCAAGTTAACCTATTTACTGTTTGACCAAGGCTAAGTTTGACTAGTTTTAAAGTTAAACTTATTTATTGTGAGAAATTAACTGTTGATTAGTTAGGAATTAAAAAGTGTCAGGACATTAAACAGAGCCATGCTTGTGAGCCCGGCTATAAGGTGTTCATGTAAGTGTTATGTTACTGTATGTGTTTGCAGGGCCCCGTACATGTACCAGCTGGCCGTGGAGAAGGTACGCAAGTGTGAGAAAGTCAGGACTCACGTAGGACGGATGAGACTGCTCATCAGACATTGTCTCAACAATAGATGTCTTCACATACCCTTCCAGCTGTTGGTGAGTTGTTTTAAACAGAGAATATTTGTTACTCTGATTCATAGAAACAAGTTTGTTGCAGATATAAAATATAGGGTCTAAGAGAGCTTTTTTTTTAGGAATTAAAGGAAAGATTTTAGCCTATTATATTTTAACAACATAAAAATATGAAGTTATAGTTTTTTTCATTTAATATTCAACTCAATCTTTTAATTTCTTATACAAGAAAATAGTCTACCGTAAAACTATTATTCTTTTATAATTCAACATACAAGGCTGGTCCGTAAATAATCGTTTCCAACAAGCTCTCATCACAACAAAGCTAGGTAGGCCTAGTTCAAATCTATCACCAGCTTCCCCCCTCACTACTATTCTACTTTAGCAGCTAAATGTAGAAATTGTATTCCCTCACAGAGTTTGAATTGCTTCTTATATTCAGATTCTGTGGAAGGGGGTTACTCCTATTGAAATCCATTGCTGCTGGTTTAAAGATTTTTATTGAGTAAAATGTGTAGATATAAAATATGAGTGTGAGTGGTGAAGGGAGTTTGCAGGAAGCCGTAGAGACCATTTCAAGACGAGGCTGGCAATCGGCATTCATCAGTTTCTGTTGTGACACCAAACTTTGCTTACACATCTGCATATTTTACACTACCCAGGGTTTACTATTGTCCATGGTAGTCTTAGAAGATGTCTACAATCAGGTTAGATATTTTTGACACGGTCATAATGAGATCAGTATCCAAAGTTTCCCCATCTTAAGTCACTAAATAGAAGGCTCATAGTGCAAATGTTCATGACCTTGTGGTGGGATCTGAACTTTCCAACACAATTTACATAATTTTCCAGTAACTATTTTCCATACATATCAATAGATGACTATGGGTTTAATAGGGGACGACCCCTTGGAAACGTAATTCTTGACCGCTGGAGACCAGCCAGTTCAAGCACCTCTATGGACGAGAGTCTGTGTTGGGAAGTGAGATCCTATTACAGATATTGCTGTCAGTGCTGTTGTTGCCTTGTAGACTAAGGTTCTCATTGGACACAGACAACCTCTATTAGTGTATGTGTTGTAGCTACAGACCAGCCAGTTCAAGCACCTCTATGGACGAGAGTCTGTGTTGGGAAGTGAGATCCTATTACAGATATTGCTGTCAGTGCTGTTGTTGCCTTGTAGACTAAGGTTCTCATTGGACACAGACAACCTCTATTAGTGTATGTGTTGTAGCTACAGACCAGCCAGTTCAAGCACCTCTATGGACGAGAGTCTGTGTTGGGAAGTGAGATCCTGTCACAGATATTGCTGTCAGTGCTGTTGTTGCCTTGTAGACTAAGGTTCTCATTGGACACAGACAACCTCTATTAGTGTATGTGTTGTAGCTACAGACCAGCCAGTTCAAGCACCTCTATGGACGAGAGTCTGTGTTGGGAAGTGAGATCCTGTCACAGATATTGCTGTCAGTGCTGTTGTTGCCTTGTAGACTAAGGTTCTCATTGGACACAGACAACCTCTATTAGTGTATGTGTTGTAGCTACAGACCAGCCAGTTCAAGCACCTCTATGGACGAGAGTCTGTGTTGGGAAGTGAGATCCTGTTACAGATATTGCTGTCAGTGCTGTTGTTGCCTTGTAGACTAAGGTTCTCATTGGACACAGACAACCTCTATTAGTGTATGTGTTGTAGCTACAGACCAGCCAGTTCAAGCACCTCTATGGACGAGAGTCTGTGTTGGGAAGTGAGATCCTGTCACTGATATTGCTGTCAGTGCTGTTGTTGCCTTGTAGACTAAGGTTCTCATTGGACACAGACAACCTCTATTAGTGTATGTGTTGTAGCTACAGACCAGCCAGTTCAAGCACCTCTATGGACGAGAGTCTGTGTTGGGAAGTGAGATCCTGTTACAGATATTGCTGTCAGTGCTGTTGTTGCCTTGTAGACTAAGGTTCTCATTGGACACAGACAACCTCTATTAGTGTATGTGTTGTAGCTACAGACCAGCCAGTTCAAGCACCTCTATGGACGAGAGTCTGTGTTGGGAAGTGAGATCCTGTCACAGATATTGCTGTCAGTGCTGTTGTTGCCTTGTAGACTAAGGTTCTCATTGGACACAGATAACCTCTATTAGTGTATGTGTTGTAGCTACAGACCAGCCAGTTCAAGCACCTCTATGGACGAGAGTCTGTGTTGGGAAGTGAGATCCTGTTACAGATATTGCTGTCAGTGCTGTTGTTGCCTTGTAGACTAAGGTTTTTAATATTGGACTCAGACAACCTCTATTAGAGTCCGTAATGGGAAGTGAGATCCTGTTACAGATATTGCTGTCAGTGCTGTTGTTGCCTTGTAGAATAAGGTTCTCATTGGACACATACAACCTCTATTAGTGTATGTGTTGTAGCTACAGACCAGCCATTTCAAGCACCTCTATGGACGAGAGTCTGTGTTGGGAAGTGAGATCCTGTTACAGATATTGCTGTCATTGCTGTTGTTGCCTTGTAGACTAAGGTTGTTATTGGACATAGACAACCTCTATTAGAGTCTGTAATGGGAAGTGAGATCCTATTACAGATATTGCTGTCTGTGCTGTTGTTGCCTTGTAGACTAGGGTTCTCATTGGACACAGACAACCTCTATTAGTGTATGTGTTGTAGCTACGGACCAGCCAGTTCAAGCACCTCTATGGACGAGAGTCTGTGTTGGGAAGTGAGATCCTGTCACAGGTATTGCTGTCAGTGCTGTTGTTGCCTTGTAGACTGAGGTTCTCATTGGACTCAGACAATGCCAGATTCTTGGATGAATCTTGGGAGCTACCCACCTCCAGACAACTCACTTTTGTACCTGCCAGTCAACTTGGACTATCATTGACGTGAGTGAAATATGTTGAATTTAAAGTTCTTCCCTTTGTTTGTTTAACTATTTGTCAATTTTTTAGCGATAATTATAGGGGTCTGTGGACCATACTTATTTACTTAGGGTCAGGTTATATGTGATATGGTAATAAGGTCACAGGCAAAGATCAGGTTGCTTTGGATTGATGAACAAATAATAATTGTGATATTACATTCAGTACATATCCTGCATCATCTCTTTCATTCCAATGAAATCGATGAACACCTGAGGTCAGGGCAAAATTGAGAACATCATCCGCAGTCACATGGAAATTGTGAATGTCCACTGCGGTTGATGTGAATTCAAGAGCATTTTTGCAGTCACAACAAAATTGAGTACATCCTCTGCAGTTACGGAAAAATCTAGAGTATCTTCCATCGTCACTTCAAAATTCAGAACATCTTTCTCAGTCATGTTAAAACTGTGAACATCACCCGCTATTGTGAAGAAATTGTTGATTTTTGATCATGCATCATTGAAAAAATTAAAACCAAAAAACTTTCTGCAATCATTAAAATTAATAAAGTCTTGTGTTTGCTCGAGCCAACCCAAGCTTGGCCCAAAAATATTTCAGGTCCAAACAGACCTCTCTAGCCAGCTGGTGGCCCTACCTGACCCAAAAATATCAGGATCCTGCTGACCCCTAATTAATACAGCATGCTTATTTAATTTTAGGTTCACCGTAAGGTTTATAGAGGTTCATTTTAAATAGCTGAATTGACAAAGTAAGTAGCATACTGTATCAATTTAAAAATTTATCAACAGATTTTGTAACCATGTAACACTATGTAGTACTATGCCCACTGCCCAGTGATAAATAAAAAAAAAAATTTAAAGGACAAACGGATATGAAAAAAGTGTGTTCTACAAAAAATTTAGTTTTAAAGTAGGGAACTGGTTTGTCGATCTTTCTCTTTAAAAAATTTTGTTTTACTCCCCATCCCCCCTACTAACCACACTTACCACATTTAGTTGTAAAATGGTGTTTATCAAGTCAACACAATTTAAAGTGAATTGAACACCAAGTGAAGGTTGGTTCCGAGTGTTATTATAAATAAACTAGCAAACCCATCGTGGCTTCGCTCACGAAAATTTAAACTATTAAGTTAAATGTTCAACCTGAGTAGGGCCTACACTTCTTGATTTTTGTATTCATTTAACTATTAAAAATCTGTTATGCAGTAAAACCATAGATAAAACATACTCCCTTAGTAGATTTATCATCCTTATGGAACAGCTGAAGACAATTTTATTGTTAGTTCTGTACGGTTTATGTAGAGGTCGTGTTTTGTTTACAATTTGTTTCCAGTTATTACAGCCATTTAAAACCTCGTTTAACCAAATAATACGATCTAATCATAAACAATAACTTGTCCCCTAGTTATATAACCAAACAGTAAAGCACAAATCAAGAAATTAACCCTAAAATAATGGAAACAAAGTTTCATCGACACTAGCGCCTTAGTGTCACGTACATGAACTAGACACAAAAAACGTGCTTCAAAATTTACAATGGGATGAGAAGTCTACTTGTGTTGGTTAGTCTATGGTAAAACACTTTATTAGGTAAGTCCTAGTGCATTTTTACTCATGGTACGTTTTTACCCCCTTTTAAAATATTGGTACCTTACACCCACATATTTGATCAATGTCTTGTCTACTACAGGTTTATCGAGGGGAAAGCAATAGCTGTAGAAGTTTTACCAGACAGCGTAGCTTCTGAGGACGTGAGTTAATTGCTTTTAGTTAGGGATGTGTCAAATCTTAATACCGATTCTCGATACCAATAATTCTCTGACATTTCTATCAGTATCTAGAATCGATTGTCAAGAGTCAATGACGATACCAATACCCGACACGTCTCCTAAGATCCTACTTCCCAAAAATTTACCCTTTTGCCTCAATTATTGATGACGACGATGACGTTTGCATGACTGCGGGATACAATGATAATGTCTACTTGATCGCATAAAATGTTTATGATCATGCTGCGATCACTGAAGTCGATTATGATGATCTCGTGACCGCAGAAGACATTCAGGATTTGACCGCGATCGTGAAAGAGGATGATGCCGATTGACTGTGGGAGACAATAATAATTTCTACACGACCGCGGGAGATATTCATGATCAAGTCATGATCGAGGAAGTTGATGACTGATGATCCTGTGACTGCGAGAGATATTTACGATTTAGCCACAATCGTGGAAGACCATGATAACTACAAGACCGCAGGAGATATTCAGGATTTTACAGTAACCGTTGGATATGTTGATGATGTATACAACACCACACCACGTTGATAGATGTTCAGGATTTAGCTGCTTTTGTAGGATACAATGGTGATGTTTCTATTACCTTGGGAGATATTAAGGACATTGCTGTGATCTCAGAAGACAATGTTATCTACATGAGAGCAGGAGATATTCAAGGTTTCATGGCGGAGAAGGCGATTATGATTATGTTTCCGTTGCGGCTCAGCAATATTCGTGATTATGTTGTGACCGCAGAAGACAGTGATGGTGTTTCCGTGACTAAGAAAGATATTCAGGTTCCTGCAGAGATCGCAGAAGATGATGAAGATGTCTCTATGAGTGCAGTAGATGGTCCTGATTTTTATGATATTTCGAGATTGGCTTGATCAAAAATATCAGGCTGGCACTCCTCTAGTGATAAAATTTTCTTTTTGATATTTGATTGCAAGATATTTATTTACCTTTGATACAGTACAGTAGAACCTCTTTAATCCGAACCCCTGTAATCCGAACGTCCACTAATCCGAACCCCTCATTGCTGTACTCTACACACAGTACAGCAGGTCTTTATTGTATACTGTATTTAATTTACAGTACTGTTTATTCATCATGTTTACTACTGTATTAAATAAACACTGTATTTTACTTTATAAAACATTTTTTCACTTTTCCCAAAATAATGTTGATCAATTTTAGCCATATTTTAGCTATTGTTATGTAAAAACAACAATATGTCCTGTAATCCGAACTATTCAATAGTCCGAACTACCCCTGGTCCCAATTAGTTCGGATTAAAGAGGTTCTACTGTATTTATTTAGGGTATGAAGGGGTTTTTCAACCTTGATTTGTCTAGTTAGAATTTGTCATCACTACTTTAATGTTTTCCTTATTTTAAAAACATTCCCTTCAATTTCTTTGTGAAGGGCATATAAAGACTCAAGAAAGGTTGGTGTAGTATAACCAATCCATGTTGGAAACTTTGTAAAATGAAAAAAATTGGTATTGCTATCGAGAATTGAAAATAGATTTTTCAGGTATCGGTATTGGTATCGAGAATCGATAAATTTTGGTATCCTCACACTTCTAGTTTTACTTAGCAATGTTTTATATTTAGTTAAATTTTATTTCATTTATACAACATATAATTCTAAGGAAAGTTAAATTTGTTGTCCAATACAGATTAGTAGTTGATTACATTATTAGCTATTTAATTGTTTAGAGGAATAATTTTTTTGTGGCTGTGTGATAAAACAATAGGCCCCTAAATAAATAAAAATAGATTTTTTCCAAATAAAGCTTCAATGAATATGTAACATTCAGCCAATCTTATAGGACATTAAATAGCTGTTTTAGCTACAAATATTATATTTCTTTGGAAAAACAAAATTGTATAACATTAAACCCTCACTAATGTGGATTCATTATTTTGGAAATCATCTAACATTAATCCAATTTAGTTATCTGGATTAAATTTAATCTTTCAAAAGATTCAGTGTTGTTTTGGTATTGACTGAAACAGGCCCACCCCTTGTATAAAAATATAATACCCCCGCCGCAGCAAACCTGCAGACTAAGCGAATTTCCATTTCCCTAAATGGATTTACACTAAAATGTCTCCTTAAAAATATCACATTTATTCCCTATTTAAATAGAATCAGTTTAAAACATACTTAGGTTTGCTGCAACAGGGAGGGTAAAAGTGTTTTTTTATGTAAAATGTTAATAGTTAGTAAGAAATAAAAACATTTTCCAAATTTGGGCAAAATATGTTTATAAACAAGCAAACTACAACAGTTTACTTATTCTCCATAAGAATAACATGGGAATTTTAAATTTACAATTTTTTGGAATTTTCTCCGTAACCATTAGGCACATTATAACGCTTCAATATACTAAATTATTTGTTTTTTTAAGCTCTACAAAATAGTTTCGAAAGAAATTGCAAAATTTTATGTTTTTTGGGTCAAAAATGGGAAAAACCCATTTTTACCCCATGAAAGCCCCCATAAACCCCCGTTCCCATGGTCCGATCATGCTGGTTCGCGAACTCGTTCGAATAAACGTAGGTTTACACGTTTGTACCAAATTTCATCAAAATCGGATCATTTTTGCTCGAGTTATCGCGCTAACGGACACATATATATATATATAAATATATCTATATATATAAAAGGTAAAGCCCTCACTGACTGACTGACTGACTGACTGACTGACTGACTCACTCACTCACTCATCACTAATTCTCCCACTTCCCATTTACCTAGGAGGCTGAAATTTGGTACACTGATTCTTTAGGCTTTAAATAGGACAACTAAGTCGTTTTTATTCTGATCGGACTCTCGGGCTCCGCCCCAGTGGCTCTGGAGTTTCCCATGGAGTTAACCTTATGAGTGTACTCATATTTGAATGGAATTAATTAATCTTAACAGCTGTTTCAATTAAACAAGTTGGTTCTGTTCTATGATGTGCAATAGCATTAAAGTTACAAGGATTACCAACAGGGTGCAGCACTATTATTTTTTTTTTATTTATGACAACAGCTAATTTGCAACAAAAGGTGAGTGAGCGTAGCGAACGAACTTCATTCTGGAGGCGAGTTAGCGTAGCGAACGAGCTAACCTGAAGGCAAGTGAGCGCAGCGAACGAGCTCCAACCTAAAAGTGAGTGAGCGTAGCGAACGAACTTCAACCAGGACGTGATTGAGCCATGCGAACGAGCTCATCTTGAAAATTAAGAAGTTAAACGGGGCAAAGCCCGTGGGTACAGCTAGTATATATATATATATATATATATATATATGAATTTGAACGGATGGTGTTTTTGACCTCTAGGGACCTCAAAACGAAAAAAAAAATCGGTCCCGGGTCCAGGTCTTACCGTGAGTACTACGGTAATAGCTTATTCCCTATATGGGAAATTCGCTAAAATGAATAGTGAAACTTTTTTACAGAGAAAATCTAAATTAAGTATGAAAAAATCAAGTAAATTACTTATTTTATTTTAGTTTATTTTACATTCCAACAGACAGCTCCATTTTACTAAAGCATTGTCAATTGTGCAACAAAGCTGTGTAGTTTAAAGTGGCACATTCCTAACTTAGGTGAATAAAATTTTAACAAACTTCAATCATATGGCTGTCACAGAGTAGGTAAAGTCCATTTGAATGGGGTCAGAATGAATGAAGGTTTTCTGTGTTCAAAACATGTTTCAGTAGTAGGAGGTGAAATCAAACTGTTGTTTAGATATTTAATATTTATAGGCCTACTTGTTTTTATCTACAATCGCTCTTTTTAAAATCTATTTGTAAAAATATTTACAATGCACAATTTTCACTCTCTTTTCCACTCACAACAGATATTTTGATGAGAAAGACGACTTGCTTTCCGTAATGTACTTGGATATAAAAATGCAATAATAGTAACTTATTCTGCTGTTAATATAGGATCACTAACGCAGCAGGCAATTGCGAAAATAATAGTTTCTAAATTGTGGTGATATTCTTGCAGGATCAGATAGAAGTGGGGGATGTTCTAGATGAGCTCAATGGTGTTGTGATATCAACAGGACATCAGGGCTGTCTGATACAGGTGCTCAGGAAAAACGCAGGACATCCTATCACAGCATATGTAGTCAAGGTAAATGTCTGGCCTAGTCTACACCATTCAAAAATCAAAATTTGTTTAAGAGAGCTAAGGTATTTTAGAATATTTTAGCTTTTGAGTTACGTTTTACAACATTCCCTTTTAACTTGACGATTATGGTTAGTTAGGTTGTAAAAAGTAGTTGTGAAAATAACACAAACATCCGAGAAGAGAGCTTTTATGATTTAGGAAGGGGAAGATGGATTAAACATGATTTTTCACGGTTATGTCACACTAAGACTAAATTTGGTGAATTTCCATGCAGAACTAGTACTTTCTAACTAACCAAGGCTCTCCTTAAACTCAAGATCTATTTACTATAGAAATTTAATTTATAGGAAGTAGGGATGAACGAGATTGGATTTTTAGTTCGAGACGAGACAAGATTTTTTATTTCTCATAAAATTTCGAGCCGAGATCGAGACGGGATTTCCCTTCTCATACTAAACGGGAAATGCACGTTCAAAATTTTTACCTGATTTTGTAACATTGTTAGATGACTGTTTAAATACAAAAATAATGATAATAGGCAAGAATATTTACAATCTTTTATTAAAAAACATCAGCATAACATTTTTTTATTAATCACGCCTAACTTATTAAAAATGCCTACGATTAGGAAACGTAGAGATATCAGTTAGGATAGAGTTCAACTTATCCTAAAATAAAATAAATCACAAAATAAAAGCAATATTAATTTTTATAAAATAGTTACTTGTTTTGACTTTTTATAGTAATAAAACATTCCTCACACTGCGTACACTTAACAAAACTTCTCAAATGTTATTAAAGTAATATTTACATTTAAAGAATTAATTAAATAAGAACGCCTTCGCAAAGGAAACGCAACTGCAACACGCTCCTGTATTGCGGGTATTGCATTGACTTTCTGCAGGCGTTTTTAATTTTTTTAATTTTTTTTTATTCTCGTCTTGATAAAAATCTCGGCCAAAAAAAAAATCTCGTCTCGTGTAACGAGATTTAAAATTTCCCGAAAATTTCCCGAAATTTCGAGACTTGACCATCTGTTCCGTCAAGTGTCTTTGTTTCATCTATTAATTTAAATGTCTTTGTATTTAACATCCCATCATATGACCATTATCCATTGTTGGATTCATTCTTCGCGAATCACCTCTCATAACAACATGTTCTCATTATTTCTCTCATAAATTAAATCTTTTATACCAAAACCCTCGACCTTTTTACTCTTTATTATAATAACACCGCACATTTTTGGTCCTTTCGAGCCGCACATTTTTGGTCCTATCGAGCCGCGGATTATATTTATACATTAGTGCGACTTTTCTCAAGTTAATTTAAATGTCTCGGTTGAACGTATTTCATCCAACGTGAAGCCGCCAAGGACAAAACCGCATCGCCATTTTGAACTTTTCATCTACGTCATGATACAGTCCACACTCCTCTCATTCCAAGTGTTCAACATCGTCATCGTTCCGCTAGTTCCGCTCCGCATTCATCTCGACTCGACTTCATTTCGTCTACATCGCATCGCAACGTCAAACGTCAAGAAACTCAAAAGAAAGGTTATGTTTGTACTTCGAAGACATCGCACCGCATCTCATCGTAAGTTATCAATATCAACACTGAAATAATAAAGAAACCCTGGTTTTATTCCTCAGTCGTCCTTATCCTCAAATTACTCCATCCATTTACAATAACTAGACTTCTTACTTAAAACTCATTGAACGATCAAGGCCTAACTTTAAAAATGAGATTTTCAACATTTTCTAATAGATGCAAATTGCAATTAAATAAATTAAATTCGATCAGTGAGTATATCCAATCATGTCCATCAGAAATAACAGAAGCTCAAACCACTAAACTTAACCTTTATTTGCACGAAGCTAAAACCATTTCTGCCAATTTTGAAGCTAACCTTGATAAGCTTCTTGATGTTGATGACGATACTAACGTTTTTTCTAACAATTAAGAAGCTATTTCAAAGCTCCAGAACGACATATCAGAACTCTCAATTAACATTCAAACTGAAATTTCTCTTTTAATTCAGAACTTTAATGATGAACACTTGTCAAATAACTCTGTAGCATCAAACCCAACCTCTAGGCCTACTCATAGCGTTGTAAAATTGCCCAAGCTAGAACTGAAGTCCTTCAATGGTGACACTAAAACATGGATATCCTACATTAACCTTTTTGATACTACTATCCACAACAACAGTAGCTTATCCCTTGTTGAAAAACACCAGTACTTGATAAGTTCACTTGAAGGCGAAGCCTTACACCTAATAAAATCCCTACCGATCTCGTCTGGCAACTATACAGTAGCCTATAATGCTTTACGGGAAAGATACCACTCGAAGCGTAGGCTAATCTCTGTCCACCTCAGTAAAATTGTCGATTTACCCAATATTAATGAAAAATCTATCAAAAACCTTAGATCATTTTTAAATGAATTTAATGAAAATGAACAAGCTCTTAGTGTTCTTGACTATAATGTCATGGAAGACAACTACCTACTAAGTATGTTGATCTTACGAAAAATGAACTCCAACCTCTGTCAAGTTTTCGAATCAAAACGCATAAATTCTTCTGATTTTCCTCAAGCTAGTGAAATAATCAAATTCCTCAAAGACTTTTGTAACAACAGTGAAGATGCCTCTCTCTGTCACGCTTCACAAGTAGCTCCTCTCCAAATATCCAACCCTCACCAAGTGCCACGTCAAATTGATGAATCATTTCAGTTTCAACATCCTCCTATGGCTTTGATCTGTACACTTCAAATGATTTGAAATGTTTTTGTTGCCATAAAAATCACAAAATATACAGTTGCCCTGTCTTTAATAGTAAAACCCCTCAAGAAAGGCTTAAAGTTGTACGCGACTTAAAACGCTGCACAAATTTTCTTGGTAATCACTTTGCTAAACGCTGCAAGTCGACTAATACTTGTAAGACCTGTTTGAAACTTCATCACACACTCCTTCATTTTTGGAAGCCTACTAAGCCTATGGCTGATAACAGAAATCACTCCAACCAAGAACAAAAAGAAGCAATATCAAATTCAAAACCTTCAAAACTGACAGCTGTAACTCCTGGCCATTTCCTTATCAACTCTTCTCTGACAACTGTTCCTGACCCTACAAAGATCTCACCTCTTATTGATAATTTACCTCAAGACATTACCCAAAGCCTATGCTGCCGTTGGAGAAAGGAATATTTTAAGACCCCTCATCAGCGTTGTTTCAAGTGGAACCTCAAGAAAGAAAACCTCAATGAAGACCCTGTTTGTTAAAACACACCAGCTCCTCCTAAGCTACAGACCAGCTGGATCCTCATTCAAGACCATCATTTAAAGTGTCTTCATACCATTAAGCTGCATTCTTTAAATAATTTTTCAACCCACTCTGGTCAATTGTCATAAAAGTTTTACATTTTTTCAATTTCTCTTTTGTTGAACCTTGATGGTGCAAAGGGGGCGGTATGTTCCGTCAAGTGTCTTTGTTTCATCTATTAATTTAAATGTCTTTGTATTTAACATCCCATCATATGACCATTATCCATTGTTGGATTCATTCTTCGCGAATCACCTCTCATAACAACATGTTCTCATTATTTCTCTCATAAATTAAATCTTTTATACCAAAACCCTCGACCTTTTTACTCTTTATTATAATAACACCGCACACCATCCCTAAAGGAAGAACTCTTATCAGATTAATGACCACTTTTACTGCACGTGCTATAGACTGATCATAGTAAATACAATTATTCTCTTTAGTTATGATTTAAATGCTGCATTAATTTTATTCATTCTTCACAATGAATTTAAATACACTTTGAAAAAGGCAAGAGAGGTGTTATAAGTTGGTAAATAATATGTGGCTGTACTGTTTTATTCATTAGGGGGCTTACTTGTAAAAATGTTCAAATGTAAACCCAGATTGTCGCAGAAGATACCTTGGAACATGGAATGGCACAAGTTTTTTTTTCTTAAGCATGTAACATCTGTTGTTTCTTGTTCCAGGCAAGACATGGAGAAGGATTGTACGGACCTTTAGTGCCTCTTCTACGCAGGGCTGGCCTCAGCCCCAACCAACTGTTGAAGAAGACTTGTGAAGACAATCAAGAGTAAGTTTACTTATAGTTCCTCATAAAGTAGAACTCCAATTAACCGAATCAATTGGTACTATAATAATTATTAAGTCTTATTTATTTTGTTTCAAACGCATATTAATTCTTCTGTGAGCACGTACTATTACTGATTTATAACTTTGTATCTTTGTGCATGGTACTTGTTAAACAATGGTTTTTGCCCCTTGATCATGGAAGACAATGACGATGTTTCTATGACCATGTGAGAGGATGATGATGTCTACTAGACTGCGTATGTTATTCAAGATTTTGCCGCGATCCCCATAAAACTATGAGGATGACAATGTTTCCGTGACAGTGGGAGTCGGTCATGGTGTTTAATTGACCTCGAGAGAGACTAGAATTTTGCCTTGATCTCTGCTTTTGCCTTCTTTAATAACAATTCTTATCACTGTGGTTTTAGGTTTTTTTTAAATATTTCTGTAAGCTGTTAGAGTTTGGATGGTTGAAGTTCTACTGTACTTATATTTCTCTCTTCGTATTTGAGATTGAAAACACCTTGTGGCAATAGGTCTCAAGGTTTCATGCTTGTCTGGTTGCTGGGGCACAAAAATAAATAACAGCAGGTTTAAAGTTTAGAAGTAGCTACAAATGCTTTTTATCCCTAACACTCAAATTCCCACATGCATGCATCTTTCAATAGTAGAAGCTATGCTGAAGCCTGACAATCTCTCATTTTTGTGGCAGTACATACGTTCAAAAGTACCTATCATAGTAATGGCTTATAATAATCTAGTGTGATTTCAGAAGAACTAGTATTACAATTTTGCTCATTTATAAACCTGATTCAGTTGTGTAGTCAATTTCAAGATCTCTGACATTGAAAAACAGGCTAAGCTACTTGTGATGTCATCAACATTATGTTGTAGTGGGTAGCTAGACGAGTGGTGAAGTGCGACACCTCGGTTTCTAAATTTCTGGGTTCAAATCCCGCCAATAACCAATGGCTCTGTGAAAATACTATGACCCTCCAGGCCTATCCCCAAATAAAGTTTTAAACAGTTCCAGGCAAGAAACTGATGCGAAAGAAAGAGATAAACAAATAATTATGTTGTAGCAGCCAGCAGACGATGACATATATGGGACGAGTGTTGACGGCTGACAGAGGAGATGTGAAGGAGATCAGGAGAGCCATCAACCAGCTGTTGGGAGATACCTCACTACAGCAGTGTGTGGCAGTCAGTCTGGAGTGTCAAGACATGGGCATCACTGTGACAAAGCGGGAAGACAACAAGGTATCATCTCAATCTATATATTTTGTAATAAAAAAAACCTTAATACTGTAAAAATAAAAGTTCTCTCTCCTAGATGTGTTTTTAGTCACAATGATCTTACTCCAGGAAATAAATCCACCCTCAGGGCTTTCGAAAGTCACTTTGGTTCTCAAAGTTACTGAAATGTTGTACTATTTTTGTGGTATGATCGTTGACCCAAAAGTAACGGTAATTTGCCGTAGATATATCATATCGTTACTGTAGTTGTGATGCATGTTTGTCTTGCAGGTGCTCATGAAGCATCTCTACATGCACATCTCGTCATGTGGCTGTACTGTTCAAGTGCCAAACTACTTCGCTTTCATTGTAGAGTAAGTTTCTGTCTATATTAAATTAATTCTATATAATTCTTTAACTGTACTTCAAAAATGCCGAATGCTGCAAATGTGCATCATCTTGATTAATGAGCTACTTGATGGATCACAAATCAATAAATACTGTAGTTGTGAAAGATCTTGTGGTGCTAGAAACACTTTTATATTTTGTTTAAATGATCAAAGTTAATTGCTTATCACCCTCTATTTTTAATGTATTTAATTTTATAGCATATGGTTACATAGTTACTGTATCCCAAAGTCATTAGAGCAAGTACACACCTTTTCCGATCAATTTTTGTACTAGAAGCAATAGGAACTCTAAATAATCTCCACTATCAAGAATACTGCAAACCATTCTTAAAAAAAATCTCACATCAATATCCTTGTACTTGGTTGAAGTAATAATTCAAGCAATAAAGTTGGATCCCATAAAACGAACTGAAACCCATACCAGAATACCTACTAGAAGAAAAAATTAAGTTTATTTACCACAGCATAGACTAGGAAACTGCAAGAACCCTAGAACCAGAAACTAGAAACAAAACAACCAAACCAGAAAAAAAGAAAAATAAGCTGCCTCCCTCAATCTTGATGACTGCAGAGGAGAAGAATAGCAGTACGCATGAACCTAAGTAGAAAAGACTCAAATCAACCATAAAATGTTTCTGTGTTAAATCGTTTTGCCCAGTGACAATCAACTATGAGTAGGTAATCTGGTTGAATATTAAAAGTTTGCACAAGCAATTTATTTTTTATAGCTGAAAAGTGAAAACAAACAAGTCAGCTAAGTATACCTGTTTATTAGCCTAATTAACCATAACCAATCACCTTTCTTATCTTCGTTTTTCTTTTTTCAGAGACAGAGATATTGATCCTGACAACAGATTTGTTTGCCACATATTTCATGCAGAGAGTCAAGAACTGGTAAGAAATTTTATTTAAATCACATTACTATAAAACCATTTTAAAGAGTTTTCACAGTGAAAGCTTATTATAGTCCTCGCCACCCTAAGTTGAGGCAGCCCAAGGCCGCACGGCGTATATCTAGTGCGGCCTTTGGCTGCCTCAACTTAGGGTGGCGAGGACTATAATCTCCTTCTAATATGAAAAATCCTTCTACATAAAAATCGGTTATGACTGAGAGAAATCTGAAAGATTTACACATAGCTGCTGTCCGTGGTAGTCACATACATACAACTACCAAGTATTACCCTGGGCTATAGCAGTACCCCTTATTCAGCCCCTTATCCAGTGGCATTCTAGAATGTTTCTGACTTTGTATAAATAAATAGATACTATAATATGATTCAATATATTGTTGTTAATACATTTATTATTTACAATATTTACATTTATGTAAGTTAGGCTACATTTATTCACCTTCATGTAACTTGATTTTCATTGGGGATTCAATTACTTTATCCTACTATATTATTCAATTTAACACGTTCGCTGCTGACCGCTAGATGCCGGGACGGCGCCAGGAGCTGAACTAACGCTCGTCGCTGCGTAAACATTGCTACCGATACACTGAATTACAGTAAAAACAACAGTAGTTGTACTGGATGGCAATGTTCTGCAATAAAACTGGCTTTGGACATAGTACTAAGTGATTCTGATAGATAGCAGCACTACCCAGGTTGCAGTCGGTAAAGTAGTGTCGCTATCTGGCAGGAAAGAGGTGGGGCAAAGCCCTGTTCTAAACGACCCTGGTGGTGATTTTGGGAAATTACCTATATTTTTTATTGTCAGAAAACTACGTCCCCACGAGCTGCAAAGAAATATAGGACTCTCGTGACGAGCTGGCTGTTCCATGGTAACGTTAAACATCAATGAACGGCGACGTTCCAGAACGTTCCTAGCTCCTGGCGCCGTGGCCCGTTTGACGTTCCGGAACGTCCGTAGCAGCGAACGTGTTAAGTAATGAAATATCCACTTTAAACAATTCAGTGTATCTTCCCCTCATAAATAACCAATAATTTATGAGAATGATTTTGTTTACAGATTGATTACACTCTAACGAGCATAGGTAAGCAATCTATCCATTTATTCTACACAATAGTTAGTATTATATTGTCTGTGGTTATATGGTTCAAATATGGATAGCAGTAGGGCCTATTGCTTGTTGATAGTTGTTGAGATGTCTTACTGTATTTTGATTTTTGCTCAGTGAATGAAATATCACTCTCAAATTTAAATGTTGACTATTAAATGTTACCTAGCTCAGACATCCACAAAACAGTGTCAGAGCAATTAACACAAGAAATGTGATCACCCAATCACAGAGTATAAATCTCAAAATCCCACTCTTAGAAGTGTGTTAAAAGATCCAAAATTGGAGATTACAAATAAAATAAAAAAATCTTATTCATATCAAATCCTAATATAATTTGATTTCCTCATTTTGAAAACAGTTTTCACAAACATATAACAGATCAATATTATAGTAGACGTTTGCTAAACCGGCACATTCAGGACTTTGGCGATACCTGATGATTAAAAATGCAGGATTATTGAACATCATCGAAAACGAAAACAGTTGTTATTGGGAGATGAGCGAATATCCTGCTTATGTTAGATCTTTTGCCAATCGCTCACGATGTCTGCCAATCCCTCCCAACTCTTCCAATCGTTACCGTCTCTTCCGATTAGCTGCAATATTACGCAATATTAGGCTGCAATATACGTCTGCTAATTGCCATCAACTCTTTAGATTGCTACTGACTTTTGTGATCACTCCTGTTGTTTGCTGATCACCCCCAACTCTGTTGAACGCACTTATATGGCTTCAAACAGAATTTTTAAAAGTTTTTAGACCTGTATACTGAACTGATACCGTGTTTTTGAAAGTACTGGAGCATCGGATTAGCAGCCTTTTACTGTACTGACATTTACAAACAGTGACACAAAGTAAAATATTGTTCTTTTAAGCATTGCAAAGCTAGCCAAATTCATTTCCTATACCTTGAAGGGATTACTATAGCTTTGGAATGGTTCTACAGTAGACTCCCTCTTATCCGGACACCTTTTAACCGGACTACACTCAGCGGAAATGACATCTCTTTAACCGGACAATTTTTATCAGTATATCGGTTTAACCGGACTAGATCGGCAGGAAATGGGCGGTAGTGAAACGACTGTTCTCGTGGGAAAGATTCCAGGCCAGCAATCACGTGTCTAACAATGCTCCCCTAAATTTAAGTCAAATTCTGTATACAGTATGCATTTAAATGGTCCGTTTAATGAGTTTTTGGGGACGTCGGTTTAACCGGAAAACCCGTTATCCGGACTGGCCTCAGTCCCGAGGAGTCCGGATAAGAGGGAGTCTACTGTATATGTTTTAGTGTTTTGTGCACTTGCCACAATTATTCCTACTTATCTTCAGTCAACTACTTAAGTAGGCCGTTTGTTAAAGAAACCCCAATCTTAAATCATAAATTGAAATTGAGCCAACCAAAAAGTATACTAAATAAACTTTGTATTTTCTAGGCCAAGGGTTCAAGAGGACACATTTTGCTGTTTAGTGTTTAGTCAATGATTCTACAAATATCTTGCTCTTTTACAATGACCTGGCTTTACAATTTAGACTGGTCCCTTGATTCTTCTTGACACAATAACATATAAATCACAGTATTGACCTAATTAGCCAAGTAAACATTGTGTGATGTAGACATGGCTTAAAGAATGTGATTTTAACTGTCTGGTCATTTAAAGACTTGTACTGTATTCTTAAAAGACATATCATATTTTGTAGAAATTTATTTGTATTAAATTAATCTATAGACCTAACTTGTTTTGCAGAACTTACCAAAGAAATAGTTTGTATTACATGTTATATTATTGTTAAAGAATTATGATTGAACGTCTTTAGTTAGGCTACCAATTTATGTCGCCATCTTAAATATTTTTCTTGATTTTCCAAACCTTAGAGCGTTTTGTTTGTTTCAGTTAAAATTTTTGAAAGTTACTATACAGTTATTTTTGTTAATATCAACAAGCAACAGTTGTACATAATCATAATACATTTTGTTGAAATCTTACTCTTCAAATACTATTGAAACAAGTTGCGAAATAAGGCCTAACTGTAGTGTTTTTGTGTGATACCTAGCTGTAGATAATATGGTTAGGTGGTTTTCATATGATCTTTCATTTTATTACATGCAAAAACACCTAAATAAGCATCAATCCTGTTTTTGAAAATAGATTGACTTTTTTTGAATTAATAAGTAAATAAACGGTATCAGCATTCTGACACATACTTTCTCCCATAAGCTTGTCAACAATCTTTATCATGGGTAAGCAATGGGAGTAAATATGATATTTTATAGTTAAAAATCACAAAATTGCATCAACTTTTGAACTGTAATTGTTGCAGCAATGGGGGGTTGTACATTTTTTTTAGAATTATAAGGACCATAACATATTATTTTGATCAAAACCATCTTTTTTCAAAAAATCCAAATTTCCGTTATTTTATTTTATTTTATGGGAAAATAAACATAAGTTACAATAACTTTTTAACCGCAATTTTTACGGAAATGGGATTTGCACCATTTTGTTCAGAATTTAAAGGACTATATCATAGGCTATTAATCGTTCAGGCCATTTTTGAGAAAATCCTATTTTTCTGTTATTTTATGGGTTTTTATGGGAAAATCCCCATTAAAAATCAAAATTTCAAAAAAATGCCTGGAGGTACCGTGGATTAGTATACAAAATTTCATCAAAATCGGACCACAGGTGTGGTCTGTAGCTCGCTCTGTACACGTCCACACACACACACACACAGACATCACTTCGAAAACTGGTTCAGGGTGGCCCAAAATGGATATATTAATTCAAAACTCAAACAGTACAAAAATCAAATGATTGTGTTGGTCATATAGTTCTCTTTGAAAAAATCGTTTGGAAGCCATTACTTTCCTCAGTTTCTACGCTGGATTTATTCATTGTGGTCCTCATCTTTTGTTTGATCATTACACTTTCAGCCTATCATCTGTGACAGTTGTATATCCGTATCTGTGTGCAGTGTGTATCCGTATGGATTTTAATTTAAATACGGTATTTATTAATTCTCCAAAAAATGTTGATTCAGTAAATTGGGGTTACCATACTGTATAACTCAAATTGTGTTCTTTGAGCTTTAAATTGTTATTTGTAAGTTAATTAGTAATAAGTTCTCTGTAGAATAGAATCTCATTTTAGACAATATGTACAAATTAATACATATTTTTGTTTTTCTAAAAGCAATCAACATAAAATAAAAAAAATATCAGTTGCTGTATACAAGAACAAACATAAATCAATAAAGTAATATAATTTAAAATGTCTTCATGAAGTGTAGTTTTAAGGTGGTAAACAAAAACAAGAATGATTTATTTATTGTATTTATTAAGGTGTGTGCAGTAGTTTAATTCTTAGGAAATAGTAATCAAATAAAAGACACTATTTTAGCTTTATTGAGAATTTAAAGGGTGGTGTATTTGTTACTTTATTTTTTAGAATTTTAAAGGGGTTTTTCACAATTTTGTCGATCGAACAAGTGAATATTTGTAATTTTTTAAGTTAAGGGAGTGAGGATTATGTTCGTGTTTTTAAATATCAAAAGCCATAACTGATCATTTGATGTAATATAATATTTGCAGTATTGTATAAAAGAAGATTTTATTGTAATTGTGTTAATGTACATCAAAGACTTCCTGTACACATCCATGTTACTATTTGAATTCTTGTGAATTTGTCAATATATAAGTATTTTGAATTGTTACAAATTGATATGCATTTGGAACATCCTTACCCCACTATTACTTGATCGTCAAAAAATCATAAAAAAACCTTTATTAAATTAAATAATTAAATTAGAAAATTGTATCAATGCTGTTCCTTCTGGAATCTTCACAATAATTCTTATTATTAAGAATCCTCTTTTAACCAGTTGGGTTGGTTAGCTGCTTCGTAAATATTTAGTGACATTTTATATTTTAGTAAAAGAATATGTGTAGCAGGGAGATTCTGTTTTTAAGATTTAAAAATGTTCAACCAATCCTGGGGCATTCTGAACATTTAAAACCCACATTTAGTTTTAGTCCTCCCATGTTTATTAGGTAGCCCCCATCCTCTCCAGTTACTATTATGTTATGTTCTAGTGTCAACAAATTATAGATTATCGAATATCAAAACCTAAATTGTGATGTATGGTTTCTTTTAACTCCAGATTTGTAAATCAATATATCTTAACTATTTATTATAAAGTATTTCAAAGGTGTCCAAGGTTCCATTTTCATAATAAAGACAACTTTTTGTAAACAATTCTTTATTTCTCAACATTAAGTACGACGTGAATTATAAATAAGTTAAAGTTACCATCATTATAAATTCACAATAGTTACCATCATTAATAAATTAATAATAGTCCACATAGAAAACATCTATTAGAATATTACTCATAAATATAATACAAAAAATAAAATTCTGGTCTAAAGCTAACGAGTACCGATACAGCATGAAATATGCATTACTTTCTCTCTAGGTTTCTTGAAAAGGGCATTCACGTATCACATTGTTTTGACAAGCTTCAAACGAATGGCGTTGCCAAGAAACCCAAAGTTTGTATTTTTAGCCTATATTAATGCTATTTTACAAAACAGGCACAACCTGGTAGAAGAATTTAGGGAGAAGTTTTATAATACAATCCTTTTGGGAAGGTTAGCAATAAAAACAAAGCCAGGAGAGAGGTTTTAGTACTTTTTAGTTTCATCAATCATTTCAATCATCGTTTTATCTTACATAGCTTTGGCTGTACTTTTAAGAAAGACATCCTAAGTAAATTTATAAACTGCACTTTAAGGGCCTCCAAACTATTTACATTAGATTCTAATGGTTTGTTATTCTAGGTAATGTTGATATTTACTCAATTTTTAAAATCAATATACTTTTGTTTTCACTTAATAAACCTTTGACAGTGTGTATAAAGGAGCATATAAAAAATAACCTCTCTACCTGCAATAGCTTATTTAGCTTCTAAAAATGTCCAACAATCCTCACATATGTTTCTTTCACACCCTTCGGAGTGTCCTAGCATGTCTATGCTGTGGTTGAGCAGACCCTCAGAAACGTCCAGTCAGTTGACGTATCCAGTCGAGGTAGTGCGCGACCTTGACGTAGACTCCTGGCACTCCGTATTGTCCACAGCCTATACCCCAACTGACCACTCCCACCAGCTGCCAAGTACCTCCTCGCTCACATACCATCGGACCACCACCGTCACCCTGCGGGAGAAGAAAACAAATTTCATTTTTGGAGATTTAACTTGATCAGGTGTGTTGGAAGTGGGTTTTAAAATGAAGATTTGTAGAAAATTCAGAAGATTAAATAGAAAATTTCAGGGGCTTTGAAAACTATCCTTTAGAAATTAGAAATCTTATATTTATTGTCATGCGACTATTTTACACAGCGTCGTCAACCGTTCAGACATCTATCTAATTTTTATTTTTTTTACATTAAATTAAATAGAATAGAATGCAACTTAATTGTTACAATAATCATACATTTTCAGTGTTCCAGCATGGCTGGGAAAACATATGTATCATTGTTAATATTCTTAAAACTAAAAAAATATGAAGATAAATAGGACACAATAGAAAACATCTTTACGGATCGTAATTTGAATTATCATTGATGGAATAAACTTTAGGTAAAAGACAGGACTTAAGGAAGCATTTTCTTTAAGTTTTGAGATGGCATTATTACTACATTGACACTGTAATAAAAATGATTAATTATTGCAGGACTGAAAATATCATCGTGAATGGAAAATCATTTTGTATTTTCCTAAAAAATAGTCAGGACAAATAAAAGCTTTGATTGTCCAAGATTGTTGATGGGCATTTAAATATTTTGTTTTGTATTCCAAAATCTGTTGCCAGTTTTAATGAGTTTTAATTTAATAATAATATAAAAGTGTTAGGACATCAAGAGTTTTTAAAAATTGTAAACTTTGAAGTATCACAGGGTTTTTGATTTATTTGTTTGGAATATATCAAATAGATAAGAGATGAAATGTATAACAGTTGTTGGTACCAACCTTGCATGCGTCTTTGCCCTCCTCTCCGCCAGCACATATGAAGCCTGGGTGCAGCTTGAAGTCATACCCTAGCCTAGTCTGCTGTAGTTGGGCTTGGCACTGATGATGTGATACTACAGGCACATCCACCTCCTGAACAAATAAACAGATTATAGTTAAAACCAGATGAGCAAGAATAGTGAGGCACTTGACTTGGGTGTGGACAGTGGATAATATATGAAAGATGAAGTTAATTTGGAATATCCTTTCATAGTGTTCAATAAAAGAAGTGACAGATTCAGATTATTATACTCTTGATCAAGAGTTCATAAATCTTACATCTCGCTGTAAGAAAAATTGCAAAACTTGAATTTGCTAAAGAGTTATTAGAATTGCATATTGTAACCAAGCAGAAGTGCATTTGATTTTAGCAAGGATAACTGACCTTGCCAGGAAGGTCAATAGTTGGTTCGGTAGGGTTTCATAGTGTTAGACCAAAGAAATTGCAGTTACATATATTCTTCTCTTAAGAGCTCATAATTTTGAACTAATTCCTGAAGGTAAATTCCTTCAAAATTCAAATACAGAGGTTCTGGATCTTGGTCTTACCACAACCACAATCTACTTTTCCAAACATTCGCGCAAAAAAAAAAAAAAAAAAAAAAAACACTTGTTGAATATTATATTACATATTATATATTATATTATTATATATATTATATATTATATTATATTATATATTATTGAATATTATATTACTATTATATTCCTCCCACCAATTTAAATCACTTCATATGAAAGACCAAACAATGATCTAAAAAAATATATACATAACTTGCCAGTCTAAAAATGATTTAGAAATGCACCTCCACTTCAGGAAAGTGAAAGAAGATTGAAGTCTAGAAAAATCTATTACGTTATAACTTGATTAAATCACCGAGCGAACCCAAGCTAGGACTGACAATTTTCATTCTCCACTACCTTGAGGATGTTCTGGTATTTTCCGTAGTCACCGAAGGCGTCCTTGCCCCAGCCCGTGGTCCAGCAGCGATGTCCAGCGTATTCAGAGTGAGGCTCAGGCAGACAGGCCGGACTGATGTGAGGCGACTGCTGGAAGTCCACGGGGTGGTCCAGGCGCAGCAGAGCGATGTCATTGAACAACGTCCCCGCGTAGAACTCAGGGTGAACGTGGAGAGCCGAGACATCTCGCTCTACGTAGGGGTAGAACTCTACATCATGGTTCACATCCCACTCTCCCAGCCGCACACGGAGGTCAAAGTTGGTGTAACTGTAGCATTTGAGGGATTTAATTATGTATAACAATTTAAATAAATGGTATCAGCATCTGACACATACTTTCTCCCATTAGCTTGTCAACAACCTTTACATAGGTAAGCATAAGAGTAACTATGAGGTCAAATCATAAAAGTTGCATTAACTTTTAATTCGTAATTTTTATAGCAATGGGGAATTCAATTGCACTATTATGTTTAGAATTATAAGGACTCTAACAGACAAATTTCAATCAGATTCAGTTTTTTTTTTCGTTAAGTCCATTTTCGGTTTTTTCATGGATTTTTATGGGAAATGTAAGTTAAAATAACTTTTGAACCGTAATTTTTACAGGAATAGGAGTTATACCATTCTGTTCAGAGTTGAAAGGGCTACAACATACTAAATTTTCATCAAAATCGTTTGTGAAAACAATTCTATTACTACCTTAAATAAGGTTTTAAAAAGTATTTTAAGGCAATTGATTAGGGGTTATGGCTGAGAGGCCTGAAGAATTTGAGTTAGTCCTAGTAGTAGGCCTAAATAAAAAAAAATTAAAATCAGTCACATGATATTGTGTTGAAAACTCAAACTTTAATAAGATATAGAATAAACTAAAAAGTAAAGAACACAGAAAATGAAGGATAATGCACTTAAAAATATCAGCAGACTGAAGGCTGTAATATTTCAAGCTGTATTAACCCTTTTAGTGCCAACGTCCGGGGAACCGGACGTTTTTAAAACGAGCCAAAAGTGCCGACGTCCGGCTGACCGGACGTTTTTAGAACGAGCCAAAAGTGCCAACGTCCGGCTGACCGGACGTTTCGTAATGATCGAACAGTTGTCATAACAACAGAATGGATACTCGGATTCTTTTAACCCATATATTAACATTGAGTCGAAAGTTACTATGCGATACATCGATTTTCGTTGGTCGAAATATCGAAAATTCGATTTTTACGAAATTTTAACCTAAAAATCGCCAGATCGCGCTCGGCATTTTTAGCGCGACCTTCGGGAAAAATCATCGGCATTTTTTGAGCGTTACTTTTATTTCTCGCCTGGCACTCTAAGGGTTAAAGCAAAGTTTAAGAAAATAGTATACAAGTATTATGATGTTCTTAAACTCGCATATTCTGATACCTTATGTCTGAAAACCAGCCTCGACAATAATTTTTAAATGAAGAGGATTTGTATTAGTTTCAATTTTACACTGTAAGACAACAAGGGTCATTCGTTTTCACTAGGCCTACTTGTAGTACTGTATTATACTCACGATTTGACACAGTGAGCTGCTGTTAAGACGTGCTGGTGGTCGATGAGGGTTCCTCCACACACATACACACTCTCTTGAGGGTCCTTCTTGAGGATAGCCACCTGCCAAGGGTATTCTCCTGTAAGAGGAAGGGGGCTTTAAGAAATATTTCTGGTATTTTACAGGTATTTTTTTGTTTACCTTTTAAGAAGTTGGTGGCCTCTTATATCTTTGCCCATCCACATAGACCACGGATCTGTGCATGGAATGCATGGTGAGCCGGAACAGTACAAGGAGGTGGAGTGTACTGATAAAAAGTAGTGGCAGGAATCCGAACCCATGACATTGCTGCCTTGGGTTCAAAGTTCGTGGTGCTACCTACTGAGCCACCCATTCAACAACATTGTAGATAAGATACTGTCGAATTTTTAGACAATGCTAATCATGTTTTTCCAAAAGATTGCTTGACTTGCACTGGGGCGAGTTTCAACCCATATATGAGTAAAGAGCTGAGTGTGGGTTGGGTTACATGCTGTGTCTCTTCAATTTTAGTACGCTTAACATACAAGTTATTTTTTTTTTACTTTTTCACTGTATTAAACGTAGATGTGTGTTTTTTAATTTTACTTCTTAATTTATCAACATTTCTTAAGTCGGTAAAGCCTTTGAGTCTGTTCACAACCAATATTAAATTTCTACTATCCTTTCTGATCCATGCTGTCAGTTAAAAAACGTGAAGAACGAACTCACCAAACTCGCTGTCACCATCGACGTAGACAGGGTTCTTGATCCTACCATGGACACCCTGGGTGTTTCTAACTCCACACTGAGGACTGTGAGGGCGATAGACCTGCTGGGCGGGGGGAAGGGGGCGCCGACAACATACTTGGCGGGGGCCACACCTACCAGCTCCACCACCAGGGTAGTAGGCTTGACGCTGTGTGCGAGAGGTACGTTAGTCAAACATAGTGCTAAAAGTTTTAAATAACAAACGGTTTTAGTTTTGGTTTCTCTGAAATGAGTCCATACTTTTTGTTCAAATACACAAGAAATTGGTAAAATCTGAGACAATTCATAATCTCAAAATGAAAATAGATAGTCTAGTCAAAAATGTAACACTGAAATATACTAAATAAAATATTTTAATTCTTTTTTGTTAAAAGTTTTGTTGTGGTCTGGTACTTCTATTGACCTTTCAAAAGCACTGGCAAGGCTCATTCATGTGCAATACAATTTCATGCTAATTAATTGTGTGGCCTGCATGAGTCTCTTTCCAATAATAAGATTTGCAGCATTGATTTAACAGCATTCCAAAAAAGCATTGGGAATTCTACCATCTAAAATAATGCTTTTATCATTCGTTTAACTTTTTCATGCTCAAAAGCAACGCATGCCAAGAAAAGTATAGTTAAAAAAATGTACTATCTAAAACACAAATTTCATAATTCCATATAATTTTACTATGCTGAAGCGCAATGTATCTTAAGAAAATGTATAACTATTGTATGAGATGAGGATGATATTAAGATTATGGCAACTTATATATCTTGTCTACAATAGGTAGAATGAAGAAATTCCATGTTAATTTTAAAACCAAGGCACTACAAGTTTTTTCCTAAGCTAAAATTTGAGATTGTTTAATCTAGATTATCCTATGTTAGTACAAAACTGTTTAAGGCCAAAAAGATTCCGAATCACCAAGATAGTATAGTACCAGTAAAGTAAAGTAGAGAGTTAACGTTAAGTGAAAGGAAAGTTAGTTTTAAGTATACAATTGGTCACCGTATTTTGTTGTGGGAGTAACTTTCAAACCTGTGACTTTGAATTCTGTTGCTGTGAAAAAGCTTGAAACATATCACAAATGAGTCAAGTACATGTTGATAAGATAGAAGTAAAATGCAATGTTTCAAATGTTTCATATAATATTTTGGTAATATTTTAAGTTCTATATTCTGTGTTTTCCTCAAAGCAATACATGATTATTTAAAGTTTATTAGAGTCTTATATTCTGGTTTTAGTTGTTTGTGTCAAGTTGAATACTAGTACCAAAAAGGTGTCAAGTCCAATAAAATCAGATTAAAACCTAATGGGTTCGAATGAAAAAGGACAGTTTTGGGTGTGTTTTCATAATGTTCTACCTTTGAATTATTGAAAAAAAAAAACAAAAAACTGGGCTTTATCTTAATAAAGTCTTATCGTTTTTGTAAATAAGTCATGTTGATTTAATGTATTTTTTTCAAGTTGTTTTTCAAGCCACTCTTACATTCAAATGTTTTTACAGAGTTTGCTGCTGAACAAATATGTGTTAAAATTGTACAATTTTTTAGTTGTGCTCAAAATTTGGTAAAGTTTAACATAATCAGTTGGGTTCAAGTTATTGTAAACATTTTTGAAACCAAGATTGTATGAACAACATAGAATTTAATCTAAAATAATTTTAGAGTTACCTGTAAAGTACAAAGTCATGTCAGTTTATGGTTAGTGGCACTGGACATCCATCTTACCTTTTCTGGCTGTACCTTCTCACTTTCGTTTTGTGAAGTTTCACGTTTTTGTCTATCACCGGCTCTGCGGTCGCTGGGGAACTGGACTAGGTTGGATTTGGACTCTTTGGAGGAAGAGGCTCCCAAGTTTACGTGGGAAGAAACGTTGGAACTGCGGTAATAATCATCTTGAAAGTCATTGGGTCCATCATAACCGGGGCCATCGTAACCAGGGCCGTCATAACTGGGTGCGTAACTGTTGTCGTAGTGAGAAGGTCCGTGAAGGGAGGGTTTGAAGTCAGACTCAACATAGGAAGGATCGTAAGATGACGAAGCTTTGTAGTCATTGTCATAACCAAAAGGTCCGTTATCGGTTCTGAAGCTGTTGAAGCTTGGGGCATAAGGTTCGTAATAAGGCCTGGGAGGGGGACCGTACGAAGGCTTGTAAGGGTAGTAGCTGGGCTTGTGGTGGTAGATTGGAGGGGGTGGGGGTGAGTGGTAGTGTTGGTGATGATGCTGATGAAGATAAGGTGGATAACCACCAGGGTAACCTCCATAGTGAGGCTCCTTGAACTTATGAATGATATGACCTACTTTATGGATAAGTCCATGATTAGGAGTTACGTGAAGGTTGACCAACGGTTTAACGACCTTTTCACCGTATTCATCTTTAGTGACTTGAACTGAAAGCAGGGGATTAACACTGACTAGTCCTAAATCTAGACCGTTCCCTCCCACGGAGCCGTAGTAAGGGTTGATGGCGGGGTTAGGACCATATGGGTTAATAGGATAACCTCCTCCTCCTCCAGAGGGAAGACCAAAGGAAACACCGAAAGTTGGACGGAGTTTGAGGCCGGAGCCATCGGAATCTGAATCATCATCTCCACCTCCGCCTCCGCCGAGACCGAACTTGCGCTGCAAACATCAACCTCTCTCTCAGTCTTGCCAACCTTACAACAGTGTTGCCAACTTTCTACATCATGCCAGAGTGACGCAGTGAGTTCGTACTGTACAGTGTTCCCACGTGTCTTCCGAATACTGTGAACTTTACAACAAATTCTCGTGATTTAAAAAGTGAAAAATTTTGAAAAAAGAACTCTTGGGGATATAATGAACTTTGGCACCATCTGGAGGAGGGGAAATATACACCCGGTGTTGAAATGAGCATAATGATTTTACGCTGGGAGGTGATGAAGTGAATTAAATGAAACCCTCAACCAATGATGTTAATGAGAACAGAAGAAGGAATCTTGAGTTGAATTCAAACAGTGGGAACTTACGCCAGAACTTTCTGCTGTCACATCATTTTCTGTCACCTCATATCTGGAAGACGCTTCTTCCGCGACGGCTTCCCGCTGCCAAGCAAGCCAAAATGTGCGTTAATTGCTGTAAATGCTTTAGGTGCACAACTACACTTCTACTGTTAACTACTGTGCTAGTGAGTTAAGTGCAGTGCACTACTACCAGTTAAAAATAAGTATTACAAATAAAAAAAATAAAAATTGAATTACATCATACAAATAACACTTTTTACTTCTTCTTTTATAGTGATGAGTCTGTTAAAATGTTTTTCATTACATCTGTAAAATCAATTTTTACTATTATGTAATTTTTCACAGTTAACACACTGTTACCAATAAAATTTACCACACAATAATACAGATAAGTAAAAATATTTTAATCCATGATAAGTATTTTACAAAACCTAAACATATTGTTCTAAAGTAAAATCTCATTTATCATAACCCTTAATACAACAAAAACACAATGATACTAACTCTTTTAGTCTGTTATCATCAAAGATATTATTCAGTTTTAGCTGCACTACTCCCCAAACAGTTTATTAGTAGGTTAAAAATGTTAAACAGTTGGTTGAATTTATTCACCTAAAATTACCATTCTCTTTTTTATTATGGGATTTTCAGTTATATTAGACTAAGATATGGATATCTACTTTTTTAGTTATTCTAGTTTACCTTTTGGTAAACTTTTTTAAACAAACTTTCCAATCATAAACATAGTTAACATTTCATAAAAATTGAGATTTTAACTATAGTTCGGCCGCTTAGAAAACGACCTGCGCGCTAATGCTAAACCAATGCTGGAGGAGGTCGCTTTCTAAGCGGCCGAACTATAGTAAAAACTATTCAAGATCTAGCTATGTCATGCTGATGTTTACTTACAGGTTTGTGCTTCCTCTCTTCAGTTTCTGTTGCTTCTGCCACAGCGTCATCAGAAGCCTCTCTCCTTCTTCTTTCTTTCTTCTCCTCCTTCTTCTCCTCTTCTTTCTTTTCTTCAGTTTCCTTCTTGCTCTCCGTATCCTCTCTCTTAGGTTTTGTCACAACAGTCATGGTTCCATTTCCGTCTGTGATCACAACATCGTTTGGTCCCAAAGCCTCGATGGTAGAACCACCGTTGGTCCTTGGGTCGATGAAGTATCCGTCCTCCTTCCGAGCAATTTCGTGAGGCAAGCACTGATCGAACGGGACGCAGAAACAATCACTGTCCACTCGTGGACTCTCGTAGTTCGGGTAACGGTTGTAATTGTTGGTAGAAGCGACGTAGCTGTTGCCAGGATTGTAGTTGGAACTTCCAGGGTAGTTGGAACTTCCAGAGTTGAAGTTGGAACTTCCAGAGTTGAAGTTGGAACTTCCCGGGTTGTAGTTAGAGCTTCCAGAACTATAGAGGGAACTTGCTGTGTTGAAGGTCTGAGAGGGATTGTAACTGCTGCTGGGGTTGAAGCTGGAAGGAGGCGAGTAGCTAGAACTGGATCCAGTCAATCCGTTTCCTGTAACCATACAATTTTAGGGTTCAACAGATATTTATACAATTTACGACTGGTTATAATTAATAATTACCAAGCTTTTTGTTCCATACCGCCTTTCCATACCAGCTTTTTGTAAACTATTATTACTTATTACTTATTAAAAACTAACAGAACTTATAAAATTTGTATTTATTTGTCAAATTATAATAACCCTTGACTACTTGTCACCATAGACTACTGTACTGACCTGTGTGGTGATCTAAGGACAGCAAAACACCATTAGGCCTACAATTTACATAGTCATTAAGTCAAAGCCACATCAACTAGTCAGTGGTGACGACAGAGATAAGATACAGCAGTACCTGAGACCAGTCTCAAGCATTGTCTGCCTTATCAGAGCCACTGTGCTTGGTAAATATACTTGTAAATTTAAAATCCAAAACTTAACTAGTCCTTATAATTTAAATGGGTTGACTATCAGTGCATCTTTCATTGTAATTGTCAAGTAATCAAGGTGTCTTTTCAAATTAGGTACCTATAATTAAGGTACTAATCAGAGAAAGAAAATAATGCTTAGTCTGATCAACACTGGAGTTCAAAAACATGAAGAGGTTTTGAGATAGCCCCATGAATATGGACTAAAGAAGTAAGAAAATGATACGATGATGGATAAAGCTAAATTTTGAAAATGGGCAAAAGAAGATTTAAAATAGATTGATAGAGAGATTGAATGGCCTTTTAATCCAAGGAGTTTATGTATATGGAGTCACTACAGAAACCATTGTGAACTTACCAGAAGAGTAAGAGCCTTTGAGGTTGAGCTGCTTCTTGTAGAAGTCAGGTTTGCCGTAGGAAGATCCACTAGGGTAGAGTCCCCCTGCTCCAGTGGGAGAGATGGAGTTGCCATAGAGAGGTCCGGGAGGAGGAGGTCCGGAGATGGAAGGAGTTCCATAGCTTCCGTAGGGAGCTGTGTCGAGAGTTGTGTCAATCACACCGGTAAGACCAACCTGGAGACAAATATTGAATTTGAAGGTTGAGTGAGTCAAGAGTGGATACCTGAATATTCTGTGTAAATATATGTATATCTATATTATTTATAAAGTTGTTATCGGAGTGATATGAGATAAAGAATTATTGGTTAAAATACACATTCCATAAAGTTTAATTTCGGAATCATTTATGGTTAAGATGTTTTGTACCTCAGAATATATCACAACTCATGTATAGGTAGGAGATTTTCGAACAAACCACAAAATATCATTATTTTATGTCTTAAGCAGTAAGAGTTTTAGTCACCTCCAAATTTGTTTGGTTTCAAGAAGTAACTGGCCTGGATAGTTCCCTACCAATGATTAATTATTTTAGATGGGGACGCCATTTTCCTTAGTAGGAGCGTATTTTAACCTAAATATGAGTGAAGAATGAGTGTTGAATGGTGCAAGATGATCTGTGTAGCTTTTGTTACTGACTAAGATAAGCTGGTTCAACAGTCAAGAGCATTTATTTAAGGCACAATGATCAGGAACAGCTGGGTACCGTTTCAAACCATCAAAAAGCTATTGACTTTTCTCAGGATCAATCCGGTGACCTTTTGATACTTTAATCACTCAGCTATCCGCCTAATAAACTTTAAAAGTATAACACAACCCATACACCATATTATACCATCGAGATTCACCCGTGACGTATTTAAACCCAAAATATGAGTAAAGGATAAGGATGTTAGTATAGAATGGATTGGGATGTTTCGTTTAGCGTTTAGTTCTGTTAAAGACTAAGACCAGTTTTAATAAATAATTTTGTACATCCCAGTTTGGATTTGTAAAATGTTTCACAGTGTATGAGTTAGTTGATTATTTGCTGTTTACCTTGTCTCCATGATGGTAGTGATGGTGTACATGAGTCTGTACTCCACCACCTGTGCCTCCCACCACGACCACAGGTTTCTCCTCTGGCTCATAGATAGGCTTCTTGAGGTAAGGTCTCAGTGGAGGAGGCGGGGGGCCGTAACCTGGTCGAGGGGGAAGAGGCACTGGTCGTGGGGGACCGTAGCCCCCTACAGAAGCGCCCCCTACTGGCACGGCAGGGATGGGTCGACCCACAGGTTTGATGTGGACTGGCTGGGCGTAGATGAGGTCTTGAGGTGCAAGGTATTTGCCTTCAGCATCCAACTCACACTGGAATATCATAGTAAGGTTAGAACTGGACCACTATTTTTGTCAAACACACTCTGGGATAAAATACAACATGAAAACACAATTCATTAGTAACTGATGCTGTTAATTTATCATGGAGGAAGTAACATGATGTAATAAACATTTCTTTTGTCTGTATGTTTTTACATTTTAGACCAATGGAATACCCAATCAGTATTAATATAAGGGTGTGTTGCTAGCCACTTGCTTGTAGCAACTCGGAGTTTGGTGCGATAGGACAGGCTCAATCTATAGCAAATTCATAAACATTTGAGAGTTTGTATAATGTTGGTTTTACTTAATTTTCTGAGATATACTGGTTACATAAGAATTTTATATATAACTAGCTGTGTACCCGTTCTACGCACGGGGATCTTATAATATTCAGTTGAAACCTTCTTATATAACGAACAGCAGTTGGTTTGCATATTTTAAGATATGCTGGCCAAACTATTATACATAGCTTCATTTTATGTTGTTTTTTGTTGTTCCGGATCGGTATGACAATCAATAAAAGGTTAAATTACCTCTGTGTCTGCCGGTCGATCCTATAACGGTAGGCTTACTTTTATTTTTACTATCTGATCTCGTTTGCATGGCTCAATCACGTCCTGGTTGAAGTTCGTTCGCTACGCTCACTCACCTGTATGTTGGAGCTCGTTCGCTGCGCTCACTTTCCTTCAGGTTAGCTCGTTCGCTACGCTCACTTGCCTTCAGGTTAGCTCGTTCGCTACGCTCACTCGCCTCCAGGTTGCAAATTAGCTGTTGTCATAAATGTAAAAGAAATAATAGTGCTAGTGCTGCACCCTGTTGGTAATCCTTGTAACTTTAATGCTATTGAACATCACAGAACAGAACCAACTTGTTTAATTGAAACAGCTGTTAAGATTCAATAATTTCATTTCTCATAAGGTTAACATGGGCTTCCAGAAATTCCACGTCAAAAATCGACAAAAACTTGATTTTCAAGGGTTTACTGTTAAATATCTAACTGTCTCATATTCGATGAAATACGTCTAAAACCATCTCATATATGTATAGTATTTGGAAAATAAGTTTCAGGCGGGACAGTGCTATAGTTATTGAGGAGTAGTTGTAATAAAGTGCGTATTTTAGCGTTACCAAGAGAATGACAGATAGACAGACAGACAGACAGACAGACAGACAGACAGAAATTGAGATAAGGTTTGATTCGGTTTCTCTGACCTATGAAATGTAAAAATAACCAAAAAGTTCATTATTCTAAGCAATGTACAGACAAAACTCTAATTTTATTTATATAGATTTTTTATAGGATTAATTTACCATATAAGACTTTAGGTTACTTAATTGTGATAAACTCCTCTGAAGCTTAAAACACCACAATTGTAACAACTCTTGTTATTCAATCTTTAAGAGAAAAAAAACTTCAACTAACCGCCATCAGCCCAAGACCGCACAGTCGCTCCTTGATGTAGTGTCTGGCCTGTGTCTCGTTGCCAGCTGTGATTGCTTGCTGGACATCAGGGTCCTCGTAGATCTGGCCGAACCCCTCCAGGGACTTGCCCGCTCGGCCAGACTCTAGAATGTCCTCTATGACTGTGACGGAAGTGGAGCCAGAGGCGGAGGGGGCGGAAGTCAGTTGGTCTCCAGGCTCGGACCTCTGCTTGCCCCAGGACCAGGAGTCATTGTCTGCTAGAGCGGAGGCCAGCAGCAGCAGGGGGGTGAGTGCCAGGAGTCTCATGTCTGTAACAATATCAGGAGGTCAGATATTAGGTGAACACGGTGAAGATACTAGAAGCAATTTGCAGATTTTGTTTAAAATTCAACATGAATAATATTGAGTATTGGATCGAAAGTAATTCGTAAGGGAGTGTCTTACAAAGTGGAAATGTATTCATAATTTTACTCTAACCCGAGAACATTATTTAGGAAAAGTGCATAGGACAAAACACTTGCAGACAATGGCAGAGTATAATTTGTAATACATTGCTAATTGGAGTTAATAAACTATTTAATAAAGAAGTACACGCTTTAAAATATGCTCTTATACAGACCATAGACAATTTGTCTATGTACAGACTGCCTGAATTAAGTACAGTATTTTTTTGTTTTTCATCCAATATAGTCTGGTTCATATATAAATGGAAGTTGTTGCTGAAGGGTTAAGTTGCAGTAGGTATCAAGATTGGTAGGTGAATTATTGGGTGTAAAAACTAATTAACCAGAGAAAACATAAATATAAGCTAGAGATGAAAGTGCTCTTCAAAGAGTTCAGTAGCAAAGCAGTTAAAAGCAGGACACTTAGATGCACTCAGGTCATGTGCACGTGAGTAAAGAAACTATTTTGTAGGTAGCTCCCACGAATACTAGAAAAATACCGGTATGGATCATAAACATAAACAAATGACGTTCTAGTATTCGTGGGTGATCCTAAAGGATAATAGTTTTTACGCAGACGACCAAACCATGGAAATGACGAGTAGAACTTTTTTGGTCTCTCAGAGAAAATTGGCAAACACCAGGAAAACAGCAATTTCGTGTTATAAACAAGTGTACAAAAATTGTATTAATCAGCAAATTACAATAGCCTATTGTTGACTATTTGAAATCTTTCGTAAGTATTTATATTCATTGTTTCATCTCTTAGAAGTAAACCATTTCGAAAAATAAAGACTATTTTCTGGTAGACATTAAAGTTTTGAGTTCCGATCAATCATTTGACATAGGTTGGCCAATCTCCAGTTTATTGGGCCGTGATGAAAGTGACGAAGTTTTGATGAAACATACTGTTACAGTAGGAGGATCAGTTTATGCAACAGTTCCTGGTAGAAACCCCGCGTGGGCTGGTGAGAGCTGTCCTGCCCATAACACCTTTAGCCGCCCAGTCTTATCGCAATTTGCGTGTAAACTCATTTGGCGCGAAATTTGAGACCGTTAGAGTTGGGGAATGTGTAGGCGGTCGAGATTTTGTTTCTTATAGACTTGTCTTCCTTGTATGTTGAAGTTTAGGTCTACGCCCCTTTTTAATGTTTTTCGTGGGGACACTACAAACCCGGTCTTTGTTAACTACCTATCAATCATTTAACCTATACAAACTAGGTCCAAAATTGAGATTGGGAGCGAACTGCTTAAGTTTTCATAGAATAAGAATCATTTTTAACTTTAGTTTTATTTTTTCCTACCATTCAAATTGTATAAAGTACCTAAATTAACAATAGCGGCTTTCAAAGTGTGCTGTGCTCAGAACTATCGGACGCCTCAAAATACATATATAATCATTTGGTTAGGAAAGGATAGTTGTAAATGAGTTGCTACACCCACACAATGATTATGGATGCAAAGAAAATGTAGGCCTACTAGCATTATAAATATGAAAAACAATTTATTAAATATTTTCTATGGTGCAAACAATATAATCTAATTTGTTTGCTACTGTCGTTAATGAGTTTTGCTAAGCTTACTGAACCGTAATAGTAATAAACATTTCGGTCAAATCACAATATTTATTTCCTAATACATATTATTTAAATTCGTGTACAGTGTACAGTATTCGTATCAGGGTCCAAGACTGGTAATATTATGTGAATGTATGGACATGATCCAAGTGCGTTGTAGTCAAGTGTAATTGTGTGAACGTTTATTTTATTTTATTGTATAACGTTTTTTATAAACATGCAATTAGGAAGGTCCGGACTCCGGTCCCATGCAGTTTTAGGCGTAACGGTATGTTAATCGTTATGAGTAGGCTTAATTCGTTACACATTTAATTATTGAGAGTTAATTTACCAGTTGAAAAATATTTGTTTTTAAGATGAACTATATTTCTTCAGTTGTTCAAATAATATCGCAGTTATACATAACAGTGGGAGGAATAATTCTAATTTACAAATATCCATTTCTGAACCCAGGGTTTTACTAATTTTCTGTTGTAATCCATACAAACAAAATAATTTCTTGATCAGCATCGTTATACGTGTTATTAGATTACCTGAAATAATAAAAAATACGTCTAATAACACTTGTTATAATAGATTTAAACTTACACTATTTACTCACAAGACGGTAAATACATATCAAAGATGGTACGTGATGATCGAAATTATACGTTTTCTTACCTTTAGGTTATCTATACAAAAAATCAACAAACTTTTGTTTTTACACAATCAAATCACTCAATTGTGAAGCGGGAAATGCTTGGATCAAATGCTTGGATCAAATGACTCTGATGTCACAGTGTTGCCAATATTTCGCCACCCGGCAGCGGAAGTGCATTTTGTTTGTTCAACAAGCCGATGTTTGGCTGCGAAGTGCTAATCTGTTTGCAACCACAGATGTAATGGACGGTTTGTTGGTTGTGCCAGGTTGGGCAACAGTGAGAGTTTTGTCTCACCTACCTATGACACAAATACAGCTTTGTCCTCCTACATGACGTTGGGCAATTGATGTGTGCTGTGCTCTGTCAAACGGAGAAATTGTATGTCATTAATCGAAAGTGACCCGTTGTGATTGCAGTGAATATGTCTGTATGATTGTCTCAACTGACTTGGGTAGGAGTTTAATCGCTGCCCAAAAATAACTGGATTTGCGAATGTATCTGTGTTGGCAGTGTTAACTCAGTTGTAAGTAGATCGGTATGATATTGAAGTAGTAGTTGAAAAGGTAACATTGTTCTTTAAGTCTCACCAATCGACATTTAAGTTTAAGATAAATAATACATTTTAATAAAATCTTTTACTGTCTTTTGTAGTTTGATTAGCAGACAAAAGCCATATAAAGGTAATCTTATATACTGACAAATTTTGCAAAACTTATAATTTTAATTTTGCTAGTCTGACCATACTACTGGATCGAACTACACGCGGTTCGTACCAAATGAAAGATATTTTCCTCTAGATGTGCAGAATCCCTTTATAAATTAAAAGAGGCTCAAAAATAATCATTAAAAATTAATTTTAAATAATAAAAAAATTACACGGGCCTTATGGGTTGATGTATGGGTTATGTTGGTGACGAAATAACAACACAATATAAAGAGAAAATAAAAAAAATAAAAAAATCCAATCACATGTTTTATTTACAGCGTGGGTTAAAAATAGAGAAGTTTGCACAATACATTATTTTGTTCAAGTTTTCGACCACGGGGTGAGCTCTCGTAACAACCTAAAAGTAACGTAAATTGTAAACACAAGGATACTTTTTGACTTTTGATTGGTAACTTCATCATTCACCATTGATGATTTATCAAAACTAAATTTGTCTATTATCTATTTCTAGATATACAGTCAGTAAAGTACCGTTACTGTATAGTACACGGGGAAACATGGGTCGCCGGAATTTTATCCCCCTGGAATTTGACACCCAGAGCAGAGCTGATGCCGCTATGATGTAGTAACCTGAGCGCTCTCAAGTTTGTTCGCGGGGGAATTTTACTCTCGTTGATTTGGGAGTAATGAAAATTGCCAGAGCGCAATTTCAGACAGTTGGTCCAAACCAATAAATTCCATATCTAAGCACAGGGGGTAGTTTTGATTGATTTGTTCTAGATTGTTTAATTGATTATGGAGTTAAGTAAGACTCTACAACAACCTTTGCTGTTACAACCTAAGCTTTGTCCCCGAATTTTCAAAGTGTTGAGGATATGGCGATTGTTTTACTGCATTAATAAATTTTCTCGGAAACAGTAGGAAAACTAAAGTTTGTACATGTATTGATCATTGATGTATTGAATTACTACAATGTTTTGTTTTCAAATTACAAATTCACGGGACGAAATTCCGGTCCGTCCACTCTATAGGGTTTGTAATTTGATTTGTTCTGATTAAATTCACAACCGTGAAAAGTTATTTTTAAGTTCACCTTTAAACTCATGTTGTGCAACTCAAAGGTTTGCGGCCGAAATTTAACCCCCTAAGCTGGGACGCCAGGTGTGCTCAGGGGGTAAAATTCCAGGGGGATAAAATTCCACCACCCCGCAAAAATGTGGTGTGGTGACTGCAGTGATACGATAGTGAGAAGGTGGGTTTCCAACCGCTGTGTCAGTCCAAGACGATACCACCGGGCTTACTTTGGCATTGTTTGTTTATTAGTAGGTCACAGTTTTGCAAATTAAAATACAAATGTGTAGTATAACATTCCCTAAACGTATAATGTTGAATTGAGTTTTCAATATTCAAAAATATATTAAACTACCTACGATGAAAACAATACAAAACATTTCCATTCACGTTCATATTCATATTCGTTTTAATTGTTGAATACAACCATTGGCGTTAGATATTGATGCACACATCCCAAATGCTGATTAAAATTTTTAATAAAAGAGAACCCATAGCCGAATGAGCTTCTCATACAGTAACTAGTAAGCTACTATTCAAATTCGGATTCCTCTTTTAGATTCCATACTGAAGTATAAACGTGGTTACTGAGTTACTGTACCTGATGGCAACATGAAAGTTGCCCAGACAGTCCGATATAAGAATTCGGTGTTTTTGCACATTAAGTAACTCGATCGAACTAAGTTAATTTATTCTGTAAACTAGCTACAACTTTTAACTCAGAGATGGAATGTCTACCTCACGGTAAAGTATCTATAGTCAATGAATACAATAGTCTTTCTCACCGGATGTCGTGCAGGAGACAGACAAACCGGATGTGGAAATAGAAATTGACTTCCGGCAACAAGGACGTCGAAATCGATTACACGGACGAACACTCGCAGTTCAAGGTTCGAGTCTGTTATTGAT